ATATATATTCGTAGAAGTGAGCTAGTTTGAATGTGATAGTCTTTGTTGGTCTAATATACAATTCTGCTCTCAATTAACGGTTGATTTTCCATTGTTTTATGGAAAGCAGAGAACCAGGCAGACGTTAAATGAAAAAATTAGCCAGCTCAATTCAGCAATCGACAATGTGTCTTCCCGTCTGAGAGGTGGAAACAATTCCCCTACAGTGCCTGTCGAAACTGATCCCGAAGTAGAGGCTACCATGTGATTTGCTAGACAAGGTTTCTGCATGCTTTTGGTGCCGACGGAATCTAAAGCGGTAAAAGACCCCAAAGATATTCATACACGGATATGTAACTAAGTGGTCTTGCCTTAATTTTGTTTTTCAGTACTTGGTCTAGTAGTCAAGTATAGTTGAACCTGCCATAACTTGTTTTGAATTTTGGATTATATATTGACAGTTGCTATACATCTCTGGCTTCTAGCAGTGCATTTGTTGATGGGATTGTGTCCTTTATTACTTCATTTGCCAAGTATATTTCATATCAGTTCGGAAATCTTTTGCACAGATAAGCACGCACAATCATTGGTTTAATTTCCATTTTATTATACTTATTGACAATTTCCTCCTGGTTATTCAGGATATCTAAAATACTAGAGATGACCAAGAATTTCTCAATGAATGAAAAAGTCCGGTTTCATAAAAGGGATATTTTCTTCTTTTTTTCTCCGAAACTGAAAGGATGTTTTCTTTTTAACACAAGGGAAATTGGCTTTTGATGTTTTCTTATTCCGTGTGTTTGTAGGCTCTTTATGGGGTGAATTACCAAAAAGAATCACACCTGATATATATATATGAGATTGTTCGTTCACTCAATCGAACTTTGATAAAAGTTGGAAATGACATCCTTTTGAGGCAAACCAAAGATGGCCGTTCTTATTACATTACATAATATCTATGTCGTAACCAACTTAAAACTAAATCTTTATAAGAACCTTTACACAATCTTCTTGCTCCAGCAGTTGAAATGCTCTGCCAATATCTGACAGTTGAACTTCATGAGTCAAAAGTTCATCAAGCTGGATTTCCTGCTCGGAATAAAAAAAAAAAAACAAACAAACAAACAAAAAACAAATAAACCAAAAAGGATTTCAAAATCCTCATCTGTTTTGATGGATTCTCAGAATGCATTTCAAATCGCATACATTTGAGACACAAAGGCAGATCCATATGTATTATATGCACACACAAAATGACATACATGAGAAATTATTCCGTGAACTAGGCGTGCTTTCTATAAATAGTTAATTGTCATCGTACTTTCTAAATAATTTCTAATAACAAGCATATATGTTCCATCAAATTGGAGCTAATGAAGATAATTTTATGGGGTTTAAAAAATATATGTTGGTAATTCACCTTAGTTTTACATTTTTCAATCACAATGGAAAGGTCAGTTTTGGTTTTGAGCCCTCCAAAAATGAAACCCTTCAAGGTTCTGCCACACAGAAGTGCAAGATGGTTGATTTGCAGGGTTGTTACATATGACAATCCAATTGCTATTGCTTTTCCTTTGCCCTGACCAGAAGAAAATATCACAGATAAAGAAGAAACTTGCAAAATATATATTATATTTTTTTTTTTGGGTTGTTATCATTAGTAATAACAAATATGAAAAAGATAGGTAGAGGTGTAAGCATACTAATTTAGTGTCTTCAAGGGCTTCATTGGTGAAGTTGGGGACGCCTGTGCACTCGAAGCAATAATCCACACCCACTCCACCAGTCAAATCTTTGATTAGCTGTGAAACAGATTTATCAGACTCATCAACAGGATTTATGAAATCAGTCATTCCAAATGCTTCTCCTTTTCCCTTTCTCTTCATGTTCTTGTCAATGCCAATGATCTTACTCGCTCCCCGCATCCTTGATCCCTCAACTGCTTGTACAAGTGATTGATTGTAAACTTTGGTGATCAAAATGAAAGAAATGAGAAGATATAACTTAGAGTAAACCTGTTAAAGCACTTTATACCAAAAATGATATAACTATATGCGTGGTAAAAGTTCACAAAAAAAGCAGAGAGACACCAATGTATTTTTTTGCTTGTGCTCCAAGTAAAAGTAGTGGTCCATAGTTCTAAACTAAGCTTAAATCCTAAAAAGTAAAACGAAAGCGCACCCCTAAACCAACAGCACCGAGACCAATGACGGCGACGGAAGACCCAGTTTGAACCATAGCCTCTTTCCAAGGAGCTCCAAAACCAGTTGAGAAGCCACAAGAGAGAAAACTAAGAAGGGGAAGTTGTAAAGAGGCAGGGTCGACTTTTAGGACATAGTTAACATTTACAACCATGTACTCGGACCAAGTCGAGCATGAAAATGTATGGTACAACGTTTGGCCTTTGACAGACATTCTTGAGGTCCCGTCAAGCATTAAGCCACTCACGTCCATTGGATACTTGAGGCACAAGTTTGTACTCCCTGACGCACAGTTCTCGCAGTCCCCGCATTCCGCCACCATGGTTGGGATCACCACATCTCCTTCTCTTAGATCCGTTACTTCCTCGCCGATGCTCTCCACCACGCTGCGCATTATTCAACTTCATTAAGAAGGAAAAATTTACCAATTAACAATTAACAATACTCATATATATATATATATATATATATATATATATATAAATGTGGAGCTTACCCTATCCCCTCGTGGCCTGGGACTCGAGGAAAAAGAGGCTGCAGATCAACACGATGATGAAATACAAGAAATCACCACATATATATTATAATAAGTAATCACTTGGTGACAGATATAATAGGATATGAATATGATAAGGAGATTGATTGAGAGAATTACAAATAAGGTAATCATGAAAACTGACTGACAAGAGGGAATCCTTTGGTGCACAAGACGTGATCAGTGTGGCAGATACTGGCATAGAGCATCTTAACTCTAACTTCCCACCGTTTGGGTGGTTCCACTTGTATTTCTTCCACCTTCCCTTCCTCTCCCATTCCCCAGCACACCACGCCTTCATACATTATCCCAAAAACCCAAATGAAGAATAATAATAATAATAACAATAACAGATTGCCATTAGCTCTTCGTGAACTCTAATATATATATATATACACACACACGTGTTTTTCACAAATAAGAGCTCCACTCCAAAAAGTTTAAGAAAAAGAAAGAAAGAAAGAGTAGTTAGATTAATTGTATCATTTTCTTTGAGCAGAAACAATGACAAAGATGAATAGGAACACAGAACATACCTTTGCATGTTAGGATTTGTGAGGTGTGGCTTGACATTATAATTGGCCTCAGCTTTTTAATTTGTTGTTCACTCACACAAATTGCAACACAGAGTCACTTTGTTCTCAAACTGGATACATTATATATATATATATATATATATAGTTGTATAAAATGGGATTGGACTAAAACATAGACAGACAGACGGTGCCGAATGCATTAATTTATAAATTTTGTGATTTAGCTATCGAAATAGACTTTTACTTTTATTTAATTTAAGAGATAATAAACTATCATTAGGGGTGACAATTCGTGTCACGTGCCGTGTTCGTGTCATGTTTTGATCATTTTTTTTTTAAATTTGCAGTCAACCCGAACACGATCCGTGACACGAAATTTTTTAAAAACCACAACACGAACACGACACGACCAATTTACAAGTTGACACCCGTGACACGAAATTGACCCGTGAATCCGAAATTGACACGAAAATTGTATACTTTTATTTAGTTTTTTACATATTAGAAATAACTTAAAATTCATAACACATTAAATTACAATAACATCCATTAAAATTAAGCAAATAATAGTATAAGATTTTGAGTATAACTATCATGATATCGCAAGTTCATAATAAAATTTAAAATATGTAATGAAAAATATATGTATTTTTTAATTTTTTACGAGTTTCGTGTCGTGTTCGGGTTAGGCGAGTCCAACTCAAAATTAACCAGTGTTTTTCGTGTCAATTTCAAGTCGATCTAATTCTAATCCGAACATCTTTTTTCTCAATTTTAACCCGTAAAATTTGTGTCACTTTTAAATCGTGTCGTCGTGACCCATATTACCAGCCCTAATCATTTCATTTAGATCTGAGATGAGATATCATCCAAAATCTAGCGCTCTCCATCGGATAAGTCAATGTCAAACATTGAAGTCTACGCCCACCCGGCCATTCTAGACTTTTGCGTACCATAAATAATTACGGTACATCCTAACTACCTACCATGTTTGTTTGGTAGTATATGTATATGTATTGTATTGAATAAGCTCTATATTTATTTTATTAAGTTATGTATGTCGTATCCTTATAATTTAATACGTTGATTGGTTTCATAAAATGTTAAACTAAATAATCTAATGCAATGTTAGTTGTACTTTTACATTATACTACCTGGTAATCAGATGTAACAACGTAGGTAATTGGTTGGTTTTTACCACACAGGTATCCAAAGCCCAGTATATGTTCTTTGTTTAAAAGCCCAACCAAGCCATCAATTTTCCACTTTGGGCATACTACAAGTAGTTAACTACCATTAGCATTTGATAAAAGCACTATATTGACTAAATACATAACATGAAAAATTATACCTTTGTAACTTATTTGCCTCAATTCGGTTGTGGAAGTTCTCGGTTGGTCTCCCTAAAAAATACATATTATAAATATAAAACATCTATTTTCTCTATTTAAAGGGAAGTTTCTCCGGCATGATTAATTTTTTTACTTTTAAATTTAATTTAAATTAAAAAAAATATACAGAATAAATAATTTTTAATATAAATTTAACAATCGAAGAAAACAAAATTATCAATAGTTTTATTTTTCTAGGTTATACGGGAGAGACTCCCAGAGCTCAAAAATGGGATATTGGGAAGGAAGACTCCGCATGGCCCAATCTACACTTTTCCAGTAAAGGGACCCAATCTAGATTGTGGGGCCCAAATCTTCTTTCTCCAACAAAAAGAGACCCAACAGTTCCTTTTTTTTTTTTTCCTCGGTAATTTATTGTTAATTTCATCAACAGTCTTTCAAAATTCGAGATAGATATCCTTAGATTTTTTCCTTTTTTTAACACATATTCAGCATCTGCTTCAAGAAACCCAGTATTGATTATGATTCACCTTCATAAATATATGAACTTTTTGAGTAGCTGATGGCTGAGGAAGAAGGCAGCGCCAATTCCCCCAACAAGGTGCCCACAACAAAAATTCAATCTTTTTCTTTTTTTCTTTTTTTTTTTAATTATTGGCGAACTGGGTTCGTTCTGAATTCTGCTCAAGAGTTGTCTGCTCTTGGATTTTAAGGATTTCACTTTCTTTTCTATTTTCCTCTTTTGGGTTAGCTGAGAAACGTTATTATATAAACATTTTCCATTATTAATGAAGAAACTGGCCAAGATACATGGAACTTTGTAATTGTAAATAGAAAAGGAACCCGAGATTAGAAAAAGTCATTTTTTTTGGGTGGTGGGGGGTGACTTGTGGCTATAGAATTGTGTTCATTTGAGTGGCTTCTTATCTCATTGATCATTGTTTATTGCTGTTATGCTGGTTTTTTTTTTTTTTTTTCTTTTTTTTGGGCAATGGCATTGGTAATTGGTTAAATGGAGTGAAAGCCAATGTCGCCTCTTTTTGCTTCGCTACTTATAGTAACTCAATCGACTTAAAGAACTGGATTTGCTGCCTATATTGTTCACTTTTCTGTGGTTTAATTCTTCATTTCTTTCTTAAGCCTAATGCAGAGTCAGTGCTTCTGATACTATGCGAACGAAGCTTTAGTGGAATCATAGTTTATGATCTTACAATGGTGTATAATGCAACAATCTATGTTGTACTCCATAATAAACTTGTACGCCAGCTGTTGATACTTGTTCCAGTGGTCGTCTCGGTTTAGAGTTTGTTAGATGAGGTGATTGATTGAGATTCAAAATCAAAGGTGTATTGTGTTTCAAACCCATGAGACACTTGCAAAACCGGCTTGCAAGCCACGCTTACACATTGCAAATTTGCACACATTGTTTCCTACACGTTAAGAATGTAGATTTCGTTCTGATTGTTTAATGTAATACAAGGAAGTCTAATGAGGGACTTTTGAATTGGTTCAAGGATTACTACAAAGTTTTGGAGGTTGCTTATGATGCAACTGATGAGAATATCAGATTAAATTACAGGAGGCTGGCGCTGGTTAGTCATTCATCTATTTTCTGTACGCTTTATATTCGCTGGTGGTTTTACATAACTTTTGCAAATGATGTTTTATGTTTTCTCTAACTTCTTATCACAAATGGGTGTGATGTTGAGGAAATCTTTGTAATTTCGGTAATTGGCTATCAATAGAAGTGGCATCCTGATAAGCACAAGGGTGACAGCGCCGCTACGGCAAAGTTTCAAGAGATCAGTGAAGCTTACAAAGGTAATTCTAATGGCTGGAAAGTACAGGTCTAACTTCTTCCACCATTCTTGGTACTTGCAGGATTTAGAATTTAGAAGAAAACAAACCAGTTTATTGTCCTCAATATCTTCTATTAAGCTCCGGGAAGGTTGAAACAAGTGATTTGTTCAATTCAAGTTATAAGTTGAAGGTCGTTGATTGTGTGTTGAGTTAGTAAACACCTGCCTGGACTGCTAATGTTTTTAAACGCGCGGTGAATTAATGGACATGTTGCTGGGCTGGTAGTATATATTGAGTACCTTCTAGAAGATAAACATGAAAGTTAAAATCATCTTGTTAAAAACGTCCATTGTTATTGCTGGTGCGTTCCTTGAGAAACTTCTTTTTCATTTCATCATTTCTGGTGCAGTGTTGAGTGATCCTGCTAGGAGACTTGACTACGATTTTACCGGTATCTACGAGATTGATAAGTATACCATAAGGGTATGAACTTTTTTTTTTTTTTTTTGCTTATCAATTAACATGTTATTGGGTAATTGAATCATATGTAGTGTTTTTAAGAAATATGGGATGAAAATTGCAGGAATATCTTGCGAGGTTTAAAGGAATGATATTGACGTGCAACGGGCTCGGTATTAGTCACACACCAGTATGGTAATGTTAATTAAAGTAAAGGCAAAGTTTTTATTCCACAAATGAAAGAAGAAGTGTTTTATATATAAAACAACCAACACATACGCAATTTATGTTTATATCAAATGGCAGGACAGAGCAGCTCAAGGAAGAAGCTGATCATGAGCAAATGGATAAATAAGGTCCGAGTGTTGTAAGTAAATTGTAATTGTACATTTTTTTTAGCATTAGAGCAGGAAGAGAGATAGCAGAGAGTGAATGCCTTGATTTATGATTGATATAAATGATTCAGAATTTCAGTTCAAGAGATATCAGAACCATCACCATTAGCATTTGCATTAGCAATACTAGTACACATAATAATAAGAAATTAATATAGAATACTAGTATGATGATGAATGGAGAAAGGAATGAATGTGGTCGAGAAAGGTGAGATGGTGAGGCCTGTCTTTGCGGGGGACGTAGCCAGTGGCCACCTCTTTGGAGTAGGAAGGGAAGCCTTTCCTTCCGTCCTTGTTCCAAAGCTCCATGGCGAAGCTGCTGTGAGCGAAGTAAGCCTCCGCTGCCCTTTTACCGCCATTATTATTAGGATTTTCGACGGAGATGGGAAGCCTTTGGTAGTGGCCTTTGGAGGTGCCCTCGAGGAAATCGAGGCGGGAGAGGGCGGCGGCGGAGACGGAGTAGAGCTCGCCGAGGACGCGGTGGTGGCCGGAGCCGGGGAGCTTGAGGAGGAAGGGAACGCGGTAGGGCCCGCAGACAAGGGGGTAATTGAGGGACGTGCGGTAGTTGCCGAGGAAGACGGCGTCTCCGGTGGCGATGAGGTCCTCCATCAGGGAGTGGTTCGAGAAACCTTTCTTCAGCGTTCCGTACGTGAATATATAATAATTTCTCACTTCCTCCTCCTCCTCTTCCATTTCCATTTTCCCTCGTCCTAGGTCTACTCCTACCATTTTTCTTTTGCTTTTTTTTTTTTTTTTTTTTTTTTTTTTTTTTTTTTTTTTCAAGAGAGAAAGAGGAAGTAGCTTTGCCTTGGTCCTCTTGGTCCGGCCACGAGCGAACAGCGCCTTTTCTATTTATTTATAGCTGCTACTTTTCTTCCTCTCTTTTATCACCTTTCCCCTTTTTTCGGGTTGTTTTCTTTTTTTAATTTTCAAATAAAATTAAAAAAAATAAAAGCTTATACAACAACAATAAGTGCAAGTATTTTCAGCGTAAAAAAAGAAAAAAAACACCCAATAATTGTAAGTGTATATGATGTATCTAAACAATAATTATTAATTACAACTTAAAAAAGCCAAATCTTCGACTACGAATAAATGCATAAAAAATCGTCCGATTGCCCCAAATATTTAAGTATCGAAATTGGCAAAGCCACAAAAACTGAAACTTTTTTTTTTTCACTTTTTAGAGCACTGCTGATGATCTGATATTAGTTTAGGATTCACCGGCAAAGGCTGAAGTCATGCATTTGGAATTTGGATGGTTGGGACGTTGATTGATTACAGAAAAAAAAAAAAAAAAAAAAAAAAAAAAAAAAAAAAAAAAAAAAAGAAAGAAACAACGCGATTTTAGTTGGAATTTTTAAAAGGTGCTCTGATCGTTATATGCCCATGATATGCACACAAATTTTTTAGTTTAATCGAACTGCGTCTCTTGAGGCTGATTGATGGCCACTTTAGGCAGCCTCCTTCCAAATTATTTACCTGCAGGCGGCACTCTACAAGAAGTAAAAAGATAACCCCAAACAAGTACAACCAAAGCCAAACACAACAACAAAATCAAACCAATTCTTATGTAGAATTTTTCTCTCTCTCTCTCTTTTTTTTTAACAGGATTATCTGACGTAGAATTAAATGCAAGAATCACGGGAGTCACAGATGCCATTATTGTTGTCGCACTCGCACTGCTGCTTGCTCACGGGCCTTCAAAAGCCCACTCGTAATGGGCTTTCCAAACCACTTCTCGCTATAAACTAACTCATTTCTGGGCCAACTTTGTGGGCTTTCTCTTCGAATCAATGCTTATGCATGCATAGCCCAAGCAACCCACTTACAAACTTATTGTCATTACATTCTGCCCCCTTTGATCATGTTATTATAAGCATATCATAGTTGATATTCAACTCCAAAGGCAGTTTAGTAGATGCAATTCTTCCAAACCTTTTTTCCTGTGCAGGCGCCTTTTTTTATTATTTTTTATTTTTTGAAAACCCATGTGTGTTTTTGCATCATCATCCGTGTACTGAACGCGTTGGCTTTTTCCCCTCCTAATAATTATACGCCGCTGAAAATGACCAAAAATGAGAAAGTGCAACAAAAGTAAGTAGATTCGCTTTAGGAAAAAAAAAAAAAGATTCATTGCACACCGCAGGTGTAGCACAATCTCGTTTATTTCGCTGATTCGAGTTTAGAATTCGAGTTTTGCTATAGTAAAAAGCTCTCAGAATCAGTCACATCTAACTTTTTTATCACAGTAAAAAGCTCTAACATAAAGTCACATCTCAACTTGAATTAAAAACTCGAATCAGCGAACTAAACGTGACCTTTGAGTTTGTGTTTGGGTGAACCAAAACTTAAATTTGTATTTAGATAGTATTTTAATAAAAACTCAATGGTGATAAAAACTTTTAATAGGGTATATAGGTAGGGTTTTATTCATCTTTTCATTGTGAATGCATAGAAAAAATTATCCGGTGAACTCATTCTCTAATAAGTATCCGGTGAACTCATCAGAGAGATATTCTCCACCTCGATCGGATCGAAGTGCCTTTATAGGTTTACCCAGTTGCTTTTCCACCTCAGTCCGAAACTCCTTGAATTTATCAAAAGTTTCACTTTTGTGGCGCAATAGGTACACATAACCATATCTTGAGTAATCGTCGATAAAAGTGACGTAATACTCATACCCTCCTCTTGCCTTGATGTTCATGGGACCACAAACATCACTGTGCACAAGTTCAAGAACATCTTCAGCCCTATTGCCTTTAGACCCAAATGGTCTTTTGGTCATTTTGCCCTCCAAACAAGATTCACATTGGGGTAAGGACTCAACCTTTAAAGAACTTAAAGGTCCATCCTTTACCAACCTCTGTATCATAAATAAAACGAAAAAATTATGACATTTTTAAGAATAGAAAAAATATTATTCATTAACTTGAGTTTGAGTTTAGAAACTCGAGTTGAAGGGAAAATTTGAACTCAAATTTAACCCCAAACTTGAGTTCAAACTTAAATTTAAACTCAAATTTAAATTTAAATCTTATAAAAGAACATAAACTTAAATAAAACTGTAACTCAAATTTAAATTTTTTTGAGTTTGGTTACAAAACAACGAGCCTAAAATCATCATTTGTGGGTAGGCAAAGGATGCGGCGCGCCAAAATTCCACAAGTAAGGCCACCTCACCACTGTGAGTTTATCCAACAAATGGCAACTCCAACACCTGGCCCTTTGTACTCTTCCTCTCTCTCTTTTATGGCTGATTCTGCTCCCTTCTTCTTTAGTATCATGTGTGTCCCTCCTTTCATCTTCCAAGTGTCTCATGGGCTTTTTTTAATTAACACTTTTGTTCGCTGATCGATTTAAAACAAAAAAAAAAATCATCATAGTTTTAAAATACTCGCAGGTACTAAATGAGTAATTTACACATATATAAATAATAGTAATATATTATAATAGTAACAATAATACAAACAAGTGGTTGCTTAAAAGAGACGTATCTATTAATTATCCGGTTGAGGTTCGGAGGGAGGGTCGGGTTTAGACTTTTAAGCCCCCCCCCCCAAAGACAAGCACTTGCTAGTTGCTACGACCACCCACCATTCCGAACACAAAAACCAAACATAAATTATAAAAACAAAAAAGTAGTCCACCTTCTCTCTCTCTCTTTAAAAGTCTAGCAAGCAACCAACACCACACAATTACCAAAGCAAATAAAAAAAGAGAACAACTTGGGGGGCATGGATGATCAAGAACCCACCGTGAGAGAAATCAAACCTAAAAGCAGAAGAATCATGGTTAATTATCTACACAAGTCTTTTCTTATAGCTAATTATGTATGTATATTGAATGAGTTTTGTTGTTTGTTTTTTTTTTTTTTTTGAGTGATATAATTGTTATTGTATGCTTTCTTAGGGAGGAGGAGGTCCTGATCATCAAGAGGAAAAGGAAGAAGAAGAAGAAGAAGAAGAAGGAGAAGAAATGAAGTGGCCGGCGTGGCTGAGACCACTTCTGAAAACACAATTCTTCGGGCAATGCAAGAGACACGCCGAGTCATGCAACATGTTCTGCTTGGATTGCATCAACGGCCCTCTCTGCTCTCTCTGCCTCTCTAATTCTCATCCTCACCATCGCACCCTTCAGATTCGAAGGTCATCTTACCATGACGTCATTAGAGTCTCCGAGATTCAGAAATATTACGTCGACATAACCGGAGTTCAGACCTACATAATCAACAGCGCACGAATTGTTTTCCTGAACGAACGGCCTCAGCCTCGCCCTGGCAAGGGCGTCACCAACACCTGCCTCGTCTGCCATCGCAATCTCCTCGATTCCTTCTCTTTCTGCTCTCTCGGTTGCAAGGTCGGTCGGACGGTCTACTCTTTTCTTTACTACTATTCAAATTATATCTTCTTCTTCTTTTTTTTTTCTTTCAATATTGTTCATTCAGTTAAATTTGTTGGATTGTGTGCTTTGATTAGATTGTGGGGACATCAAAGAACTTTTGGATGAACAAAATGCGAGCCAAGATGGCCGAGGGTGGTTCCGATGGCGAAGAATCGGCCAGCAGCAACATCACCAACTGCAACAATCCTAGTTCTTATTCTAATTCTAAGAACGCAATGATTCAGAGCTTTACGCCGTCGACGCCGCCGCCGACCGCCACCACTTACAGAACGGCCAAGAGAAGAAAGGGAGTCCCCCACAGAGCTCCAATGAGTTCACTTATTCTTCACTTCTAATTCCAAGGTACTAATTATTAACAATATAAAAAATCATATGTTGTGGCTTTATAACAAGAGATAGTCCCACTCTCACATTAAACATATATACAGAAAGAGAGGGTTTTCACTTTTCCACACCTGAGCCCTGTTCCCATCCTTTGAGGCCGGTGCTGGAAAACCATTCCTACCTTTTCTCTTTTATAGCAAAATGGACGACAATATACAGTATACTCTTTTTCTTTTATTTTCTTTTCTTTCCTGTAAATATATATATATATATATAATGTAATGGATAAGTTATACAAATTGAGCAAGTATTTACTACAACATATACATATATACATATATATATATATAGTTGTGTAATAATAGGTGTGTTTGATGCTAATTATTGTACATACTGTTGTGTATACAAGCTAGAACTCCCCCCTGTAAAATTGTTGCTGAATAAAACTTGGCTGTGTAGCAAAATCAAACTCATTGTATTCATAGAATGGAGCTTCCTTTTGGTACTCGGAACGTGTTGATGCTTCATGCTTGTGTATCGCCAATTGCTATGAATTATGATCTTCTTCTTATCCAATGGTTATACAATCTGTTCATTCCCACCTACATTTAATTGGTGTAAATTTGCTGCATTCTCAATCCTTTTATTCTCATTTAAAAAAAAAAAAGAAAGAATATGAATACAATGTAGGAATAAAGACTAAGGGCCACAGTATCGTGAAAATGATAAAAATGTGTAAAACATCGTTAAAAAAAGAATCAAATTAAATTAGAATTAAGATGGAATGTGAAGTCAAAGTTAAAATGTTTTAGCTTGGAAGGTAGTAGGAGGAGAAATAAGAGGCATACATACGCGTGGAATTTGTGATCAAAACAAAGAATAGAAAAGGTGGGAATTGCATTTGCAACGTGAGAAGGAAGGAAAGATACTCAATTCTGTAATGGGATTGAGATCGTAAGGCTTCAAATAATTGCGGTCACTGTCTTAGATTAATCAGACGCCACGTGTCCCATTAGCTTCAATAATTCTTCAATAATTCTTCCGTAGTAACCCCCGTCAATTAAAATATTATATTTGTATATATGGATTTGGATTGAATGCACCACCCATCTTTTGCGTTGTACTTTGTTGAACAAAACAACCATTATGACAATAGAAAAAGACCGTTGACGTTGATATCTAATCTAATCTAATGTTACATTATGCTGCATACATTTCGTATACTATTATTTTTCTTATCTTGGTTTTCTTATAATATTCTCGCCAATGTGCAGATATATATATATAAGTCGTTAATATTCTTAGAGAAGATGCAAAGTGAATATGGATGAAAAAGCTTTGCAGGAAAATAACTGAATGAATCAATATAATTATAACGCAACTTGTGTAAGATTCCAAACTATTTATTTCTTCTCATGTAATTTTTTGTTTTCTAGTCTAGAAAAAGAAAAGGGAATCGGATTCCCATTGGGTTATAAGAAAATCTAATACGGTGAGTGGTGGCTCTCAACATCCAAGCGGATCTCATGCTTTTATGTTTATGCGCGCGCGCGCGCGTGTATATATATATATCCCTTCCCGTTCTGAAGTTGTTGTTAGGACAGGGGGAAGACGCTTAATTGCGTTTGGGCATAGCATATGGAAGTAGTGTCAGTAACGAGGTATTGTTACACACTGTCTCTGGGAAGTTATTGATTTTTTCTTTCTTTTTTTTTTTTTTTTTTTTAAATGATTTTTAAATCTCAAATAAAACACGCCTTTGTTTTTTTTCCATATAATAATAATGAAATAAGTCTTGTATACATTTGGCATAGGAATTTTTTTATGGCTTCACCAGTGTTGATGTTGTTACAGTAGTGATACACTTAGGTGCATGGCCAATCAATCAGTTGAGAGGGAAAAGAGTTGAGTGGGACGCACTGGGACTGCAATATTGGGACGTTAAAAGGAGAAAGATGTGAATGGGATCCATGGAATATGGATGCTGTAGGACTTAAGTATTAGTACTGCTGAATAATACGATTGTATTAATTGTGTTTGTGTTGGTGTCGGGTCCACTAACACTTGCTCCACCCGTAGCAGCTACAGCGAGCATTTGGGGCAGTTTATGGATAGGGTTAGGGGGGTCCACCCTTTTCAATGAAACTTTGCCTAAGCCATGATGTCACTTTGTTACTACTTTAGTTGTTTCTGCTCTTCTACACATGTTTAGATTAGATTAGATTGTGCATATCCATCCTCCACATGCTGATGATGCTCTCTCCTCAGTCCTCTCCCTCTTTTTATCTGCTGCTGCATTAATACTTGCACAAGGTGAGGATCTTACGCTTTCCATTTTGAATAAAGTGTTTTTTTTTTTTTCTTTCGAGTTTGGTCAACCATTATCACCAAACTATTCATTTTTTTTCCTTTCCTGAATGCTGAGAGTTCCATCAGATAGACATCATGGAGTGTTTGACATTTTAATTTTCTAACATTATATAGTATGTGAGCTAAAGCTCTTGTTTGATTAGAAAATAAAAAATAAAAAAAGTGAAAGAAAGGAATTGGTGGGAGAATACTAGTTAATGAATTTTAAAACTTAACGCTAATATTTGCAAGGATTTGGGCAAAGCGGAAACCTCCCTAGAGTTTTTTAAGGTTTTATTCCCTCTGCGAATTTAAGTTAAGATACGATATTTTTTAAGAACTTTTAATTATAATAAAAAAAGTTACGATCTGGTATTTTCTAAAAATTTTTAACTGTAGAAATTTTAAAATTAAAAACTCGAATAGATGAAATAAATGAGACTTTTACTATGATCATTTCAAAAATTACAAGGATTCCATCACACACCTTTTCTTCCTTTTAATTTTCCCCTGCCAAACACGGCCTAAACGCCCCTTTTATCTTTGCTACAGAGTTTTGGAGTCTTGATCACAATGCACGACATTGATAAAGTCCACATCAGGGCCTTTTTTTTTTTTTTTTTTTTTTTTTTTTTTTTATGCTATACCGTTGGGGCCATATATATAAAAGACCATAAGCTTGTAAACGTGTCAACTAGTTGACCATTACAATTGTGGTTACATAAATACATCTATCAATAATCAATAAAGAAAAGAATAAAGATTCAAGACTACTGGTGCCTCTTCGAGAGACCAGACACCAGACATACGAGATGATAGCTATGAGAAAAGACTCACAAATTGGCAAATCAAATTACTGCCATGAACTTTCATTAATTTGTTCTTTCTGTTTTTGCCATCAAAAGAATTGTTCAATTTACAATGTCGTGTACAAACATATGAACACATAATAAATTCCGATAATTCTATGACAAGGTAGCATAGCAAAAAATTTACCCTACCGGTAGTACGCAGTTTTGCAGTGTCAAATTTTCATTAAGTTTTGTTCTTGTATAAGTACGACGTGAATCTGACAGTCCAATACTGCTTAGCACTGTAGGGTATTTTTTAATATCCTACCATAGAATTGTCAAATAAATGCATGTACTGAAGAGATTTTCCTTTTTGGGTTTGACAATCAGCCAAAAAGGATCTAAGCTGCACCTGATTAGAAGCTGGATATATGATCTGAACCTACATCTGACTGAACACTGGAACTATCAAGATGGAATGCAAAGGATTCTGCCAACTTTACTGCATCCTGAACTCTAAGTCGAGTACCCTGTTGCCCAACAACAGTGGCCGCTATTCTAGCCGCTAATGTACCCATTCCTTTCAGATCAGACACGCCTCGCAAGATACCATACAATATCCCGGATGCATAAGCGTCGCCGGCACCACAAGTGTCGATCGGTACACATGGAGAAGGCGGGACATATACAGCTTCTCCTTTAACACCAATGTAAGACCCTCTTGGTCCATCAGTAACTGAGACTAAGGGAACGAAGTGGCTTAGATACCTTGTCACTGCAATGGGACTTTCCTTTGGAGAAAAATCACATAGAGCTCGAGCTTCATCGCTGTTTGCAAACACGACGTCCGCGTAGTTGCCAACAATTTCCCTGAGCATAGCCATATATGAATGAAAAAGATGTGGCTCATATTACTAAATAAAGAGCTTGTTTTGGTGGGAAAGAAAAGTGGAAGGAGGGAGAGGATTAGTAGAACAATTTTGAGTTTTGTGGTTGTTTTGATTGAGTTAGTGATTTTGAATCCTTCAAGGATCCCCAATTTTTTTCAACATAGGGAGATTAAAAGAGGAAATCCATACTAAACACAATAAGGAAAAAGGTTATCTCTTCCTTTCCACTTACCTCTCTTTTCTTCCTATAGCTCTCTCTCTCACACACAAACACCAAACAAAGCCTAAAGCTGAGTGTAACATGAAAAAGAGAAATGAGAATGCTCTCATCTCATGGTACATTCAAACTTTTCATACATATCTATGCTCAAATTTCATATGTAAATGAAGGAACAAGAAGAGCGTACCAGAATTCATCATAGTGTCTCTCAATGCAGGAGACGTCGGATGCTGTGACGGCGACAAGGGAACCGCTCCGGCACGCTTCCTCACATGCTTTTTTTATTGTTTCAATCGTATCAGGAAGCTCAAATAAATACCCTTCAACTACAAGTATCTTTGTGCTTGAAATCATGCTAGAAAGGCATGGATCGAAGTTAATGGTTGATGATGTACCCTAGCAACGTAAAGAACATACATCAAGAACTCATTTGATCCGCATATCATAAGAAGTGTAAACGAGGACATGTTTCCCAGAATGTAATCTCTGTACCAAATTTGAAGTGCAAGAAAAATTATGACTTTGAGAGACATTTATTAAAAATGTTCTTCTCTCTGTTTCATGTACAACATTCGATCAAATTAAATTTGCAACTAATTATAAAGCTCGTTCTTGAATCTCGAGTGAGTTTCACCAGCAGAAATCTCCCCGCAAAAGTTTAATGGTGGTATCAGAAAATTAATGCACAAGCGTAGCATGGATAAGCACTAATAATTCGGAAGACTCTTTTTGAAATTCCTCTAAAATAGCGTGTTAGACTGTGTGGATATTATGGAATGTTTTAAGTACAAGAAGATAATTATTTGCAGAACAGAAAGTTTGACACCAAAAATAGAAAGAAAAAAAAAATGCAAATGCAATCCACAAGTAAAAATTGGTAAATATAATTAACCTGATAGGCCAACATAGTACGGTGGGCATCTGGGGTAGTGAGAACAATAACTGTCCCTGTGGTGCCATCCTTGATTGGTGCAGAAAGAAAGTGAACATTTGCACGCCGCAATTTTGCCCTATAAGAAATAAAAAAGTGGGTTTTGTTAATGTCAAAGGAAACAATTGGAAAAACTAGTTCTGGTTGTATTATAGGAAAAGAGAACGGAGTATTCTAATTTCCACCTGTAGAAGCCACCCAAGGGGTCACTGCCAACACTGCCGGCCATGGCAACATTCAAAGGAGGGCCTCCAACGGGAGAAATGCCAAGCCTCGCTAAGGCAACCAGACTATTAGAAAGGGATCCACCAGCTGCTGCTTTGTAGCTACAGCCATCCATTGCCCTCAAAACTCTGCCTCTCTCTTCGTGATTCACCACCTTCCTCGTTCCCTTCTCTAATCCCAGTTTCTCCAAGAACTTGTCATCAACCGTCCCAGAAAAGTCCACCTAAATCAAACCCGCCCCCATCCCCCCGTTTTAAAATAATCATACGATAATCTGATTTCGCTAATAATAATAATTAACTGTGAGCAATTGAAGAAAAAGTCAGATAGCAATACATACCATGGCTTGTCCAAGGCCCAAAACATCGAATCTGTCGGGCAAGAGGAAAGTGGCATGGGAGGTGTCGTATTGTTTACTTGTGGGAAATTGTTGTTGTTGTTGTTGCTGTTGTTGCTCCTCGTCGTTGTCGTCGTCGCTGGTGGTTTCATCGTCAGCTCTGAAGCAGTGGGCAGCGAAGGAGAGCCTGGGCAGCCTCCCTAATGGACGAGGGGTCCTTGTGGAAAAACAAAAGCTAAACGAACAACAAGAAGAACAAGTATTGGTATTGGTATTGGTAATGGTATTGGTGGAGGGAAATCTGTTGTGAGAAGGAGAGGGAGAAAAGGAAGAAATAGGAGGAGGAGGAAGAAGAAGAGAGAGAGACATAATGATGATGAAGTATTCTGTATTTATGTTGTTGTGGATGTGAATGTCAATTGTCAGGTCAAGTCGTGAGGGATTGAGATGGAGTCTGAGTGGTGGCTTGGCTTCCTCATCCACCACCAACACCAAGAAAACTAAACTCACACCGCCTCTCCCTCTCCCTCTCTCTCTCTCTCTCTCTCTCTCTCTTCTCTGAGTTGTTCTTGACTCTCTCTCTAGGAAGCTTGAAGACTCGGCCTCATGACCTTATCTCTTTTGAGTGCTTGAATGAATCTCCCACCCTGTGAGTGTCTGGTGTTGGGTTTCTTCTTCTTCCGAGTTCCCATTTCGCGCTTCACTTGTTGCTCTCATTTCATTGGCCCAACCCAACAGCAAGCCCAAATCGCTCGAAAGTTTTTAGTTTATCACGTATTTGTCCTTTTTTAAATCTCATTTTTTATTTTAATCCATTACGTCACTATAATAGTTATCGTTTGATTAGAGGATTCAAACCATGTGATTTGAACCATTTTTTATTTACATGAATTTTTTATGAGAAAAAATACTGTAGTGAACCATAAATTATGATTCGAATCAGGGAACGAATCTCTCTACTAAACATCCTCTAAGTGTCAACTATTAACAACACTCACTATTTTCATGTGCCCTTCAAAAAACACTATCAATGTCATGGTAGTGTGCCAAGTTACAGATGATAAACTGGCCGGATTTCTTCTGCGATTTGTGTTGATAATAGTCTAATGAGGTGTGAACTAATTCTTCTCAATATCAAAACACTTTTTAATTTCCTGACATTCTACCAAAGCTCTTGTTTATTGATCAATTTGCGTTTAATATACTTGAATACGGCTTTAATCCTTCTCGTGGACTATTATTATAAGGTCACAACTATCACCCATCTAAACACCTCTTATCAAAAATCTCCTCTTATCAATGCTGCTCATAATGACTTTATCAATTTATTTCGGTCATACACCATATTATCTCCACTTCTTTTTTTTTTTTTTCTCTAAATAATGAAATTCAAAGGAAGACATTATTTACTAAGTGAAAAATATCATTTAAGATATCCTGTAATTTAACATTTTTTCAATCTTGAACACTGTTTGAAAATCTCAGTGAGGTACTGTTCATTAAAAAAAAACGAGTTATTTTTACCCTAATGTCATTTTTGAGTCAGAGAATAACAAAAGGGCTATTTTGAATTCTTTTATTAAAACTGTTTTTTTTTTCCCTTGTGATGAGAGGTAGATCTGAATTGTTTTGATTTTATCAAAACAAAATGATATTTTGCCAATTTATTATATTAAATAAAAAAAGAAACGAATGTTTTGACACGTGTCTGAGAATGATTGGGAGTTAGAAGAAGAATCCTTGTGGCAATGTACTACTCTTAACTCCCCTCTCTCCCTTGGCCTTGTTCTATTCTCTATTCTATTATTCTCACACAGTTTGTCGATCGATCCATCTCCGCCATTTCCATCTTTCACAGGCGCAGACAAACAGGGGTAAGCCTTTTATTCCAACAATTTCCTCTTATTGCATTCTATTCTATGGAATGAATTTCACGACTTTGCTTTGATCTGATATTTTGTTGATCTGCTACAGAGGAGCTAAGGTATTCAGATTTCCTCTTCAATGGACCACGCTGAACTCACCACCGAACAGGTTCTCCTCTTAACTGTTTTATATTTCCTTTTTTTTTAATCTAATTTTCTTTCGCGTTTCCTCTAACTTCAATTTCGTAGTTTTACTGACATTACCAACTTATTACAGATCATGTTGTAGTTCAAAGTCTTCTTGATAATTAGGTTTAACAAAGATCTTTTCTTCTTCTTCTTCTTCTTCTTCTTTATTCTTATTATATTGTATTTTTTTATTATTTTCGAGAAGAGGGAAGAATATTCATTGAGATGGATTATGTTGTTTTCAATTGTCAATTGAGAAGGGGGAAAAAAAGCAAAAGAAAAAGAGATAGAGAAGGATTTGATTTTGGGTAACGAGTTACTTGAGGATTAAGAGATTTATGCCCATAAAAATTCTAATGCCATTCAAAACTAAGCTGACTCTTAGTTCTTACATTTTAAGGGATAATTATTATTATTATTATTTCCATATTTAAGGTTCTGAAGAGGGACATCCCATGGGAGACATACATGACTACTAAGCTCATCACTGGGACATGCCTTCAGCTGCTAAGGCGCTACGACAACAGATCGGAGAGTTACAGGGCTCAATTGTTGGATGACGTAACCTCTCTCTCTCTCTCTCTTTTTCTGAGTTCTGATCTGACCATCATTTTTTATTTGTATCTACTGTCTTCTCAAGGTTGAAAATTTATGGCTTTCCTCTCTGGTTGTTTTTCATTGTGCTTCGCCATATTCTTAGTTAATAAATACTCCTGAAATCGGCTGTGCAACAGTAGTTTCTTTTCATGTATTTTACCGTGATATTAACTAGTGGTTTTGATGGTGGCAGAATGGTCCAGCCTATGTTCGGGTTTTTGTTAGCATCTTACGTGACATCTTTAAGGAAGAAACTGTCGAATACATACTGGCATTGATTGATGAAATGCTTGCAGGTACTTATAAGTTTTTCTGGCCTTCTAATAAAATATTTCACCAATAAGCTTACCCGTTGATTATCTATTTTGTAGCAAACCCGAAAAGAGCTAGATTATTCCATGATAAGTCGCTTGCTGGTGAGGATACTTATGAGCCTTTCTTAAGGTATATATATTTTTGTGACTTGAATTAACTACATATAATTTTATTTTTCTAAGGAGCGTTTCCATTGTACCTGTTTGTTTAATTCTCAAATATGGTGCTCATTTCTTCTGCCAATGTTTGAGTCACTTTATCTTACCCATTCCAACCTGAAACACATGTATTGAAATTTATGTATCGGTGTTTTGATTCGATTTGTTAGTTATTTACCATTTATTCCTACTCGTAGTCATGATTGAGTTTGTTGAGTATTCAAAATCATTCAGTGATTTTGTCAATTTTCAGGTTGCTCTGGAAAGGTAATTGGTTCATACAAGAGAAGAGTTGTAAGATACTTGCTTCGATAGTGAGGTACTTTAACCATGACAGATTTTCTTTACAAAGTGGATATTTCTTGGAACTAGGCAAAAGCAGTTTCTTTTATTTTCTAAATCTGTATTCTTTTCCCTTTATGTTAATACAGTGCAAGGCCAAAATCCCAGGATGGCAATATTGCAAATGGGGAAGCGTCAAATTCAAAGAGAAAAATTACTACTGTTGACGATGTGTTGAAAGAAGGATTGGTAGAATGGCTTTGTGCACAGGTATGCTTTCAGCTCTGTGTTATTCTTAGAGCTTTGAACATGTCTGGTGCCTTATGTTGTATTCTCGTGTGTGGTGATTCCAACAAATAAAATGTTTCAGTAATTTTTGGACGGTTGCCAAACTGTTGGAATTTGTATTGGTCTAGAGCTACATGTTCAATGGGAAAATAATAGCCAAACATTGATTTATGATAAAAGTACATGTTTGGCTGCCCTTTAATTCATCCAATTAGAATTTTTCCGGTTTCTGCATATATGATACATATTAATCATACTGCAACCCCAACACCAACCTCCTGCTGTGGCCCTGATGATAAATTTCATCTGCAGCTGAAGAAGCCTTCCCATCCTAGTCGCGGCATCCCAACTGCCATCAATTGCCTTGCAACTTTACTCAAGGAACCTGTGGTTAGATCGTCTTTTGTTCAAGCAGATGGAGTTAAGTTGCTTGTTCCCTTGATTTCTCCAGCATCCACCCAACAGTCTATCCAGGTAACAATGACGACCAAATGGATGGCCACTGAGTTCCGTTCATTTTTACTCCCAATTTTTTTACGTCCGAATTCTGGAACAATTATTCCTAGATTCCACTTTGGTTTTTTACGCTTATATAAATATATCTTCAAGTAACATTTCTTTTCTTCTCTTTTTTAAAAATAAAAAATGAAAATAACCACAATTTTACTTTGAAACAGCTTCTTTATGAAACCTGCCTCTGTGTGTGGCTCTTATCCTACTATGAACCTGCGATAGAGTACTTGGCTACTTCTAGAACTGTTCCTCGACTCATAGAAGTTGTCAAGAGTTCCACAAAGGAAAAGGTACATTAAGTCTGCTTTCATGTCAATTATTTTTATAATATAACCATTCTGTCCTCACGAAGTTGTGTATGGTCATGCATTTGATGAATCAGGTAGTATTCAGAATTTTTGTTATCTTTCCTGTGGTATTGTTAGTTATGTTTTGTAATAGTTGGCGGATACTTGCACGTCACTGCATTGCAGATTTCAACCTTGACTTTGGCACCGTGCCTGTTATCTTATTGTTCTGTTTCACGTTAGTAATTTGTAATGACAATTTGGTGGTAGGTTGTTAGAGTTGTTGTCTTGACCCTTAGGAACTTGCTCTCCAAAGGGACCTTTGGTGCGCAAATGGTAGACCTTGGACTGCCACAAATTGTTCAGAGTTTGAAAGCACAAGCATGGAGTGATGAGGTGAGAGATCGAGAATTTCGTAACTTGTTCTTGCTTCTTAAATTATAAGATGCATATATTATTTATTTATTTATATTTTTATTGACCTTCTAGTTGATTTGAAAATTTTGATAGGATCTATTGGAGGCCCTGAACCAACTAGAAGATGGCCTGAAAGACAACATCAAAAAATTGCGCTCCTTTGACAAATACAAGCAGGAAGTCCTCCTTGCCCATCTTGACTGGTCTCCCATGCACAAAGATCCTGCATTCTGGCGTGAGAATGCTACCAATTTTGAAGAGAATGATTTTCAGGTGTCTCTCTCTTTCTCTCAGTTCCACGTTTCTCTTATGTCTTCTCGGACAACGAAATTGTCCTAGAGAAACTTGAGGCTTGGAAAAAGACTAATAGTTGGTGACCTTGTGTTGGCAGATTCTGAGGGTGTTACTCACTATTTTGGACACATCGAGCGATCCGAGAGCTCTGGCCGTTGCTTGCTTCGATCTATCGCAGTTCATTCAGCACCATCCTGCGGGCCGAGTCATAGTGACGGACCTCAAGGCAAAGGAACGGGTGATGAAACTGATGAACCACGAGAACGCCGAGGTTACGAAAAATGCGCTTCTTTGCATCCAGAGGCTTTTCCTGGGTGCCAAGTATGCCAGCTTTCTGCAGGCTTAAAATTAAACTAAGATTTTTCTTTGGTGAGGTCATCGGAGGCGGCCGTAGATTCTAATGTCCATCTCTCTATCATAAGAGAAGAAAAAGAGGATTTATTGTTAATGGCCAATTTCTGTAGATTACTAGAGGGCATATATATACACAACTATATCTAAATTTTATTTGACACATTATATAATCCAGATTCTAGGGGAATGTTCCTCCTTTTGTTTTTGCTTGAGGACCTCTTGTTAAATATTTGATTCTTTCTGTTATGCTGTGGAGTATGTTGGATTTTATGCTGCGGAATAAAATGAAATAAATGTTTCTGTGAGTTATTCTTAATTTTAGTGTATGTTTGATTTCAAATTTTTAATCAAAGTCTTCTTACGTGGTTCTGACCCTGAAAAGCAACATGTGTATGGCCTTTGCATTGGTGTGTTGTATGGAGAAAAGAGGGACCTTTTTGCGGTATTTGGAATTGTTCTTATTTTTATTTTTTATATTTTTTTAGAGAAAAAAATGAAAATAATTTTAAAATGACGTTTGTCACAATTAAAGATTAAAAACGAAAATGAAAACGATTTTTTAGTTTAGTATAAAATATGAGAGAAATGAAAAATGACTTTTAATCATTTTTCATTTTTTTGTTTTTATTTTCTCATCTCTTGTGCAAATAGAGAGAGACATTCATAAGTTTTTTTATACTGAAAATAATCTCTTGATAAAACTATCAAACACATTTTCAAAAATGATTTATGTCTTAGATTGAAAACGTTTTCATTTCCATTTTCATACAAAAAATAAAATCATTTTAGAATGAGTTCTAAACGCACTTTGTGCCAAAACTAAAAATGAGGTATGGCAGCAATTGTGCATATGATATGACAAAGGCTTAATTTGGTATTGTTGTAGATGTTAAGAAAATTACTTTTACCTGTGCTGAAAGAAAATGCAGTTATTACAAAAAATAACTAAGTATTTGGTAAACTATAATTATAGTAGCTGTACTGGTTCTAAAATTAATGTAATAGCGTTTGGTAAATTATGAGATTGAATTACTGTGGATAGTTAAAAATTACGACGATATTATATTATACTATAATATAATATATATAATTTATATTTATTGTAATATTTAATATAATAAAATAAAATTATTATTAAATAATATATTATATAATTATGATATAAAATATAATAATATTATTAAAATAGTTAATATAATTACAATATTATAAAACATAATATAATATAATATTTATTATATTATATTAAACAAATATATTATAATTAATATATTATATAATCATAACGTGTCTAATACATTATAATAGATAATAATATTAGAATTATAAGATTATATTGATATTTAATTTTAGCTGTAGTTGCCTTTGAGCTATTTCTGATTTTAGCTGTAGACTCTTCAAAAAATACTTTTGAGAAAATTTATCAAACACTAAGGGGTTGTTTGGTTGGGGGATTCGTACCCCGATTCGAATAATAATTCATGGTTCGCTACAGTGTTTTTTCACACACAAAATACACGTAAATCGAAAATAGTTCTAATCTTATGATTTTAATCTATGAACTAAACGTCTCTTAAAATTAGTTTCTACTTGTAGCAGAAGCTAATTTTGGAAGTGAAAAATAATATGAAACTCAGCCAAACAATGGTTGTCGTATGGAAGTTGATGCAATGCCGAATAACCTCAACAACGTCGTACGGTGAAAACGGTGGAACGTCGAATGGCAGAATGGCTTGGGCGAAGATGGTGAAAAATGGAGGGAAAAATTATGGACGTCACTATATCATATCATATCATATTTGTTTGTTTTTTTTTTTTTTTTAAAAAAGAAGAAGAAGAAATAAGAAAAACAAAAATGATAACTAAACAATTAAGAGGTTAGCAGTGTAGCTGGTCGTATGGAAGAAACTTTAAATGTCGTATAGGCGGATAGATGTCGTTTACCGTAAATAATGATATAAGAAAATCCGGTGATCGTTGAATCATGGTAACGGTGGGTGCTTTGAGTGAGTGAGTTGAGTGGTGAGGACTGAGGAAGAGCAATGGAGAAGGAGAAAAAGAGTGAGAGAGAGAGTGAAGAAATGAAGAAGAAAGTGTGCAAGAGATGCAAAGAATCGTTCAGCCCTTCATCAAACACTCGTTCCTCATGCCGATTTCATCCTTCTTTCTTCGTCTGTCGCCGCCACGATGACCAGAAAAGGTATCTCTTATTTTCCGATTTTTATTGTAATTTTTGTTTTTTTTGTTTTTTTTTGGATTCAAGATAATGAATTAATTTTATTTCCTAAACCCTGCAAATTTTATGAATTATAGGATGCAAGTTGAGGTTTGTTCCTCTAGTTTTCCGTTGCTTGCAATTTTATTGGCTGTTTGAATTGAGCTAATTGGTTCTTATGTGATTGGGTATGCCATTCAAATTTATTAATGTTTTAAGGACAGATTCAACATCTAGTAGTTGAAGTTAGGTTCAAAATTCCTTGTTTAGGATCATTTTAAAATTAAATTATACAATTTTGGGCTCATAAAATTGAGAAGAAATGGGGTTAGGTTATGTTATATAGGTTAGTCAAGTAGAATTAGGAACTTCAACGACTGCAGCAAAGTAATGCCATGGGGACTCCATATGTGAGTAAAATAATATAATTTTTCTAGTTTCTCTTTTTAATCAGCCTAAGGTGTACTTAGGCGTAAGCCTGCCTGACAACTTGAAAAATTTTCAAACTTATCAGATACTGAGTTTCCAAATATGATCAATGCAAGCTTTGCATTTCCTTTGAAATGATGTTTGCTCTAATGGACTGAGAAGATAGATAGAGAAGTAGAGAGAGAGAGAGAAGAGAGGGGAATAATACTATATATTAAGATGAAGTTGTGATTTTGTTAATTGGGATTAAGAATTCTTGGTCAGATCCTTGTTATTCTAGTACAAATTTGGTATTTAAAGGGAAATTTCCCTATGATAATGCTTTTGTGCCTTTTGATGGTTGTTTTGAGGTACTATGAGTTGGGCCCAAATGATCCGCCATATTCCGCCAAGTTCTATGATTGTTGTGGGGCTGAGGATCCTCAAGCGTCTGGCTGCACCACCAGTTCCCATGTTTCCTATGATGATGATGATTGAAATTTGAATTCACATCTCATCGATTTCAATTTCTTAAAGTTGTCAAAATTAAATCTCCGTCTTTATGTATATGAATTCGCATTACTTATGTGCTCATCATAAGCCGCGTTGTTGACATGCTTTGGTTCAACGTGTTTTGCTTTCAACATGCACTTCTCTTTTTACTGACGCGGACTGTCTTGAGAGAGAGAGAGAGAGAGAGAGGTGTGTGGAAGAGATGCAGACAAAGTCTTGGAGGAAGAGGGGGGGACGGCAGGAAGGTGCGGTTAGGAGTAGTGCCTATTATTAAAAGTTAAAAGAGAGGCCTGAATGTGATAGAAAGATGTTTTATTTATTTACTTCCTCGTAGCAAAGTAGTAGGACGTGACAATTCTCTTTTACTAACACACCATATGTGCGGCAATACGTCACTGCTGTAATGAATATGATTAACAATGGTCTAGGAGGTGATAAAATGATACCTTATAGTTTGAGGTTTAGGAGAATAGTCGGTTGTCATTTATAAGTTAGTGAACAGAAAAGAACTGAGAAAGAGAAGAGTTCCTCACAAGACAAGGTGCTTTGCAAATACCACATCAGTTAGTGCCTTCATACATTTTTGTCTTTCTTTCCTTGAGCTTTTGCTACCTTTTTCCTTTCTCTGTCTTTGTCTGCATTTTCAGCCAATTCCATCCCACTTACATGTGGATTGGATGACAGTTGTTTTCGATCTTCTTTTATTTCTACGTGTGTATAACATATGTTATAAGTATAGATATCTATGTTCAGCATTCCTCTGGCGCTTCTTATAACTGGATTTCGGTGGCTTTGTTATTTACCTTACTAAAAACCATGACATCTGAATATAAGATTTGCACACTACGATCCTAATTCCACAACACTTGCTTTTGAGAGATACTTAATTCTCAAGGATTTTGGTGAGTAATATAACTTTTCTTTTCTTTTTTGAATTAGACAATGGAAAATTAGTTAAAAGCCCTCTATTGGGAATGTTATCTCATCTGATTTTCTCATTCGTAATAATTGGTTTTATCGTCCATGAGAAAGACGACTTTTTATTTATTTATTATTATTATTATGCTATTGTTTTCCCATCATCATCACAAAGGAGGTGATGATATAGTTAAAAACATAACATGTGGAAGAACATGTGCATTGTTTGCATGTGATAAAAGTGGCGCCACATCATATGAATATCTATTACATCTACTACTTTTGGTTTGGTTTAAATCTTAAACGTTAATACACACGCTGTCACATTTTTCACAACCATCAGCCACCTTCCTACCTTCTCTCTCACATTTTATGTCTCCTAATCATTGCAATTTTTGTATGTTAGGGTTTAATGCTTGACCAACTATTGATAAATGTGCAACTCTAATCTCACCATTAATTAACATAAACATAGAATTTTCCATTTTCTTCTTCTTCTTCTTCTTCTTCCTCCTCCACCTCTCACTCTGTTATTGTTACGTAGACAAGACAAAATGGAAACAATAGGAGAATCTTAAAAACCCACCGACCAAGTCATCATACGTTTGTTTTGAATGCTTTAGCTGTTTGACAACTCGGTTGCGTTCGATTGGATTATGTGATTTTTAGTTAAGCGACATGGAAATTGGAATTGCAGTGTCCAAGGGTTAAAATATATATAGTAGTATATGCTTTTTTTGAGCTACAAACACGTACATATGATATAAATGCAAGGAAGAAATAGTCACCAATACGCAACGCAATAATATACAATTCACGAGCCTCTTTACTTTTTGCACATGTTTCTTTCCTTCCCTACCTTTATTCGATCCTATAAATGCTTGCAGTACTTTTGCCACGTGTACGTGTATCATCACACTTGCAAGCTTTCAGCCACACCTTCAAATACATTGAAGACTATCCATTTGGTGCCTTTTATTTTTGTGAAAAGAAAAAAAAATTGCTAGCCATCAACGGCTGGTGATCTTTTTTTTTTTTTTTTTTTAATCTATTAAAGATTGATATGTAAGATAGTGTGAGACTTGTTATAGAAAATATATTATGCAAATAACATGTGGGCTTATAATTGTTAAAAAAGCGCGACGATGATCAATGGTGACATATAGTGTGTCGCACATATGTAAAACATAGTTTTGATATAATAACGGGAGAATTATTATTATTGACATCAACATGGGGAGATATAATATACAATTTTAGCTTAATAAAAACAATATGATAATGTGAATTGTTCAGACATAACAATGAAATTGATAATAAATACCACTGAGGAGCGATGTACTTGTAAATTTAAAACGTTAAAAGTAGACGAGAATGACATGGAAAAAACCCTTTTCTCACTTATAAACACTTTGATCTATAAATCTCAAGACTTAAATAAGATTGGACGGAGAAAAGAAAGAGGAAAAAGAAGTGCTGGGTTTGAAGTTGAGATAATAGAATTTGGAGGGTAGTTATAAATGAATGCATAGTCCGCTGGGGACAAGGAAGCAAGTGTGGATGTGGGGGGTTGTGCTCATTCTCTGGTCCTCTGATGACTGCTCTGATCCTCGTACTATATACTACTACTACAACGTCAACTACAGAGACTTTGACAAAGGTTATTGCTGCATTTCTACACAATTACTCTACTTTATATCAATGCCCACTCATCTCTTTGCACCTCCATTTTTTTATTTTATTTTTGCTTCATTTAAATTGCAAAGCCACGGAGGAGATGCAGTGAAAGCAGGGCCCGGATATTGGTTGTGTCCAAAATGAGAAAAAAAAAAAAAAAAAAAAAAAAAAAAACTCTATTAAACACTCTGCAATGCTAGACCGTAAGGTTTTCTTTTCTTGTTAAATCTACATATTTCTTAATTTTATCATGATGTAACATGATATGAGTCCAATATTTTCAACATATTTCCCATAAAATTTATTCTTCTTTTTTTACAGGTTAGATTATTGAGGAGTACATTTATAATTTCCAATGTGTTGGGTCCAATGCGAGCATGAGAACGATTTTCATGAAGTTCCGTTCAATTTGCACATTCTTTAAATATTGTTACGATTATCATCATGTGGTTGTGGATGTGATTAGGTCGATAGTGTTTTTTCTCTACCACACAATTCTTCTTTTTCTTCCTGAGGCTTAGATCATTGAGAAGTATGTTTGAAATTTGCTTTGTTTTGGGTCTAACATGGGCAGATTTTGGTTCAAATTTAAACTAATTTTCATTGTAATTATATTTATTAGAGATGGAAACATTCAAAGCTTAAACTAAACACGATGAATAAATAATGGTGAGTTTGTGGGGGGAGAGAAGGAGAAGTATCATTGGGCAACATAAGTGGACCCCAAAGTTAATTGATCAATTGCTTTCAGAGGATCCTTGCACATGGCCTCCTGCTAGTTTGACGCTGCATTATCTGAACATTATTCATTCATATATACACATGTCACTTTCCCTTTTTTATACAATTGATTTCACACTTACCCTCTTCAATTATTCTTTATCTGTATGTTAATAGCATATAGATAACATTTGGTGGAGCCATTAATATTGCAAATATGTGCAACAACGGTTTCTAGGTAATTGTGTACATGTGGGAATCACAGGATGATACCAGAAACTCTAACGAACTCTTTTAGGTGGAATAATTTCCATCAAGAATATATATATATATATATATATATATATATATATGTCAAACATGCCTTGGGCAATTGGAGCATAAATAAATACCATCGCGTACGTATATGAATATGATCTAATTACCAGAGATTAATATTGGTTTAACAACAGAACAAACTAACACTTTGCTTATTTTGGAACTGATTATGTTAGTTGATAAACCAAAAAAAAGTAGAATAAAAAAGGATCTGTCTTACTCTAATTTGCTGTATGAAGTTTTAATAAGTAGCTTAATCTATGATTGATAAACTGGATAAGGAACCAACATCGATATGAGAAAGTTTGGAAGTCCTTGTCCCATTAAATTCTGTTGGGATAGAGCTTACTCTTACTGTTATGATTGCTATACCAAAAAGGTAATTACTACTTAAAACTCTGTTAATTACTCTCACAAGACGGGTGCATCCATCAAGTTTTGGAAAAACACTTATTTAATTTATTTCGTAACCTCTTTCTAAGATGAAGTCTCACCTAATTATATATATATCTAATAGATACAATAGAATTTGCCACACCTCGAAGGAAAAAGGTTGAGTTCGTTGGTTGCCAGTCCGCTTTCTCACCTTACAAAAGGTCTTCCTTATAGCCATGCCTAATTAAATTTTAAATTGCATATTACGCCAAGTAATGCAGCTGATTTTGTCAATCATTACAGTAGCTCACTACTAGAAATAAGCTAATCCGAATTTGATTTCGAAAGGACGCCTCATATCTTCTGTAAAGTCAATTATTGTTAAAAAAAAAATGTTAGTTATCATGTAATTTTCTTATCTGTGAAAATGTATTAACAACGACAAGAAGATATTGTAATTTTAATTTTTTCCATCGTGTGTAGACTGTCAAAAATAAATGTTCCCATCGCCTTTAAATACATTACATGACAAAATTTTATATCTTAAGTTGAAATTTAACAAAATTTTTAGAATATTATGGATATAGCAAAAATGACATAGTCATTATCATAACAATAATATCATTATTATATTTTGTACTTTGTAATAAAAGAATCATTATTTTAATGATATTAAAATTTTACTATTCTTGTCATATTTTAAAAATTTTGCTATATTTAAATTTTTTTTACTAAATGTGTAAAGAGCCCTTAAATATATTGACCTTGAATTTTAAAGGCTTCAAAATGTAATGGTACTTAACCGAAACAACCCAAACCGTCCGTTAAAAAAAAAAAAAAATCGAAATGCCATATAGTTGGCCAGAGCACTAATATACATTTACATGCAAGTTTTAATAAATATAAGAGATCAAAAGGGTTGAGTGATTTAACTCCCTCATCGGTCTTGGTAATTTTTGTTTTAAATCATTTTTGTGTAACACGTCTAATAATAATAAGGAAAATCACAAATTTACGTTATGTCAAGTAATGTGGTTTACAATTTCATTGAATTAGCATTTAATCGGGGTTGTCCGAAATTGAGCAATTCTTGGGCTTAGTAAAGTCATTTTCAAGTGGCTGAAATGACTTTTAAACTGCAAAGTGTGAAAATAGGCAGCGGTTATAAGAAAAAATAAATAAATAAATCCTTGCCGGTTGACATTTAATCGAGGAATGTAGAATGAAGGAGTTACAAGATGAATATATTATACTTTCAAAGAAAAGAAAAAGGATGAATATTTAATTTTCTCAGCAAAAAATAAAATATGTATGTTTTTTAGGGGATAAAGTAAACATCTTTTTGACCCAAGCCTAAGCCAAAATTAAATTGAATAATTTCTTAACCCTTCGCTATATGTTTTTTTTTTAAGCATTTACTCTCAGGTATGTCGGTATTGGTAATGAAAAGACAAAAACAAAAAAAAAATAAAATCACATTTATTCTTCATAAATTTTTTTTTTTTTGGTTGAGAAGAAGAATTATCCCATCAGTTTAGAACTGTTATTTGTTTCAAAAAATCGTATTAAATACGTGTTTTATTAAGGAGGATAGCCTAATTTGACAAAGTAAAATAAAAAAGAAAAGAAAAGGCAGTTAAAGAAAGTGGGTTAGAGAGAGAGAGAGAGGGGAAAATGGACAAGAAAACCAATCCCTGAAAAGAAAAGAAGGTCAGCACTCAGCAATCAGAAACAGCATGGTTAGATTCAGAGAGTTTTGTCTCTGAAAAAGTTTCCCCTTGCCCTTTTACCCTTTGACACGTTAAATTAAATTAAATTAAATTATTTTCCTTTTTCTTTTTGAAAGGCTTAAATTAACAAATTATAAAGCTCTCTTCTTTCTTCCTAGTTTCAGTTTCTATATTTGATATTTCTCGCAAAAGAGGAAAAAAAAAAAAAGGAAAAGAAAGAAATAAAAAAGCACCGTTCTTCCTAAGACTTAGGGGTATTTTAGTACTTTCATAAGCTCCAAACCTGAAAATCTACGCTTAGAAAGAGAGAGAAAGAGGGGGGGAGAGAGAGTCAATAATATAACAACTACAAAAGAGAAGTTGAGTTGTGAGTGTGGCCACTTGAGAGACAAGATAACCAAATTCAGAATTATTTTGTTTTTCCTTTTTTTAATTTTTGTAAATTCTTTTCTTCTTCTTCATCTTCATCTTCTTCTTTCATTCTTCTCAGCTCATTATTAAACATAAAACATACAGATATATCATATATGTTTGTCTCGCTAATCTGAAGATTAACTCTTTACAATGTCACCATATTTTTAGCTGCTTTCTCAAACAAGTCAAAACCAACTCCTTTTCTTTTAACACCTTCATCCACTCCTCACACCATGGCTTCCAAGACTAAGTAAGCTCTCTCTCTCTCTCTCTCTCTCTCTCTCTATATAAGAGACACAGAGATCTGTCTCTGGGCTTTCTTACTGTGTTTCTGCACTATTTTTTTTTTTGTTTTTTTACTTTTTTTTTTTTTTTTTTTTTTTTTTTTTTTTTTTTTTAGTGATTTGGGTCATCGTAATTGTCTAGTAATTGAAATGGATCTTAAAAAAAAGAAAAGAAAAGAAAAGAAAAGAAAAAAAATCAGTGATTTCTGCCTCTTTATTTCACTTCAAAAATGTGATTTTGCATCTAATCTCTCCTAATTTCATATAAAGCTGCAAAATTTACTTCCTTCTTTAGCTTGAATTTTTTTTTTTTTTTTTAAAGGGGAATTCTTCAGCTTGACTCTGATGCTGTTACTTTTTATTTTTGGCGTTCATTTCATAAATTTTGCAACTTTATGTTCGGATCCATCATTTTTTCCCCCTTATATTGGGATGGAATGAGCTTATACAACTCGGACCATTAGTAATACTGATATATAGTAAGTGACTGACATTTTTGAACTGAAACTTGGGAACAACAGATCTTCTTTGTCGGAAACTCCTCCAAACAAAGCATCACCGGCAACTCCCAGAGTTAATAAACCAGTTGGCAGCAGGGGAATCCCCAAATCAGATTCCGATTCCCATTCTCCTCTTCCAAATTCTCGCCTTTCCATCGATCGCTCCCCGCGCTCCGTTCCCTCGAAAACCGCTGCCGTTGATCGCCGTTCGCCCAGGATCACCACCACCACCACCACCACCACACCAGAAGTATGCCTTCTTTGAAGTTTTATTCCTTTTTTTTTTGTCCTTAAATATTTTTCGACATTAATGATATTTTCTTAAATTTCAACCTTCCATTTCCGTCCTTGCTCAACACTTGATTCTGCATTGTTGACTTTCAGAAACAACCGTCGCGAATCCCCAAGGGTGGTTCGGAACTGCAGACACAGCTGAATCTTGTTCAGGAAGATCTGAAGAAAGCCAAGGAGCATATAATTTTGGTTGAGAAGGAGAAGGCGAAAGCAATCGACGAATTGAAAGAAGCGCAAAAAGTTGCTGAGGAGACGAATGAGAAGCTCAGAGAGGCTCTGGTGGCGCAAAAGCGCGCCGAGGAGAGTTCCGAGATCGAGAAGTTCCGAGCCGTCGAGTTGGAGCAGGCGGGGATTGAGGCAGCGCAGAAGAAGGAAGAGGAATGGCAGAAGGAGATTGAGTCTGTGAGGAACCAACATGCTGTTGATGTGGCTGCTCTTCTCTCTACGACTCAGGAGCTTCAGAGGCTGAAGCACGAATTGGCCATGACCTGCGATGCGAAGAATCAGGCAATGAGTCACGCCGATGATGCGACTAAGATTGCAGAGATTCAAGCTGAGAAGGCGGAGATTCTCTCTGCAGAGTTGGCCCGGTTGAAAGCCTTGCTCGACTCGAAGATTGAGACGGAGACGAATGAGATCAACAAGACAGCGTTGAAGCTGAACTCAGAGATAGAATCCTTAAGACAACAACTCGAGGAGGCGAAAATTCACGAGGAGAAAATACTTTTGGAGAAAGAGGCATGTATTGAGCAGCTCAATGTGGAGCTAGAGGCGGCGAAGATGGCTGAATCGTATGCACGGAGTTTGGCAGAGGAGTGGAAGATTAGGGTCGACGAAATGGAGAGGCAGGTTGAGGAAGCGCGGAAGTTGGAAATATCAGTGTCGGAGTCGCTGGATTCGGTGATGAAACAATTGGAAGGAAGCAATGATTTGTTACATGATGCTGAAGCTGAAATTGCTGTTCTTAAAGAAAAGGTTGGTCTATTGGAAATCACAATTGGAAGACAGAAAGGCGATCTCGAGGAGTCGGAGCATCAAATTAGTAATGCCAAGCAAGAAACTTCTGAAATGGCCAAAATCGTCGAGTCGCTGAAGGCGGAGCTTGAAAATGTGAAGGAGGAAAAGATACAGGCTTTGAACAACGAGAAGCTCGCTGCTTCGAGTGTTCAAACGCTATTGGAAGAGAAGAACAAGCTCTTAAATGAGTTGGAGAATTCAAGGAATGAAGAGGAGAAGAGCAAGAAGGCGATGGAGAGCTTAGCCTCGGCATTACATGAAGTTTCTGCAGAAGCCAGGGAAGCGAAAGAAAAGCTTCTGTCAAGTGAAGTTGAGCATGAAAACTACGATTCACAAATGGAAGATCTGAAGTTGGTCTTGAAAGCAACCAAAGAGAAGTATGAAGCCTTGTTTGATGAAGCGAAACACGAAATAGATTGTCTAACGAGCGAATCGGAGAAAACAAAGACTGACTTTGAAAATTCCAAGGCTGAATGGGAGGAAAAAGAGCTTCATCTGGTGGATTGCGTGAAGAAATCAGAAGAGGAGAGTTCTTCCATGGAAAAGGAAGTGAATAGGCTGGTGAATTTGCTGAAACGCGCTGAGGAAGAAGCGTGTGACATGAAGGAGGAAGAGGTGCAATTGAAGGACAGCCTGAAGGAAGTCGAATCGGAGGCGATCTACTTGCAGGAAGCCCTCGCAAAATCGAAGGCTGAGACCATGAAACTGAAGGAGAATGTGTTGGACAAAGAGAATGAGTTGCAGAGTTTGGTTCAAGAAAACGAGGAGCTTCGAGAAAAGGAGGCTGCTTCGCTCAAAAAAGTCGAAGAACTGAAATCGAAGGCTGAGACCATGAAACTGAAGGAGAATGTGTTGGACAAAGAGAATGAGTTGCAGAGTTTGGTTCAAGAAAATGAGGAGCTTCGAGAAAAGGAGGCTGCTTCGCTCAAAAAAGTCGAAGAACTGTCAAAGGCGCTCGAAGAAGCCATCACGGCAAAGAAGCAAAGCGAGGAAAATGGCGAGGTGACAGACAGTGAAAAGGACTATGACTTGCTTCCCAAGGTAGTCGAGTTTTCAGAAGAGAACGGACACGCGGGGGAAGATAAAAAACCGAATAGCAAAGAAGAACCGGCGATAGTACTAAATTCGCAGCAACAGAAGAATGACTTTTCGAATGATGAAGCTGATGATGAGCATTTGAACGGGAAGCCGTCAAAGGAATTAGATGAGAAGAAGGAGAAAGGAGACGAGGCAGTGGAAGAAGTGGAGTACAAGATGTGGGAAAGCTGCAAGATCGAAAAGGAGTTCTCGCCCGAGAGAGAAGGCACCGAGCAGGAGTCATTTGAAGAGGACGTGGACACGAAAGCGGAGGTGGAGGCGGAGGGTGGGGAGAGCTTCGATCAGATAAATGGAGTGTCTTCGACCGAGAACAATGACGACGCCGGCGGAAAGAGCTCGCCTACAAAGCAGCAGCAACAGAAGAAGAAGAAGAAGCCTTTGCTTGGAAAATTTGGAAGTTTACTTAAGAAGAAGGCACCCAACAACCAAAAATAGAGAAATGGTAATACTGGATAAAATATCATTTTGGAGCTTAAATGTGTTTGCCATTTTTTTTTCTTTCGATTTTCAGAATAGGTCTAAAGTGAAAAGGGTTGTTGTATCATTCTCTAGCGCTTATTATTTTTATTGCTTATTGATTCTCTCATTTTCCAATGTTGTATGCGAGGAGGATTATATATCTTTTTTTTTTTGGTTTTTGTTCGTCTCATTTAGATCTTTGTGAAAAGGAGTGGTAACTTGAAATTTTTTCTTTTTATGGGGTTTTGATCTTATCTTATCTTATTAATACAAATGGGTAAACTCATGGTTATATTTGAGCTTGCGGGTGCTGGAAATATGCCAAGAACTGGGAAAGCAAAAGAGAGAAATACTTTGGTTGCTTCATTTTGAAATTTAAGGTATGAGTGATTACTCTTTTGATTTATATTTATTTATTTATATAACTGCTTTTTCAATTTTTATTCTACAAGTCAGAGGTCGGTGGAACAGGAGAGTTAGGAGCTCAAAACATGCCAAAACAAAATGTGAGACACATTCCTTATCTACAGGGAAAATAAGAACAGTAGCATAGGATTACTGTAGGAATAACAGAGCACTTGTCTCAAAGTTGGTCAATTGGTAATGCAGCCCCATTGGCTGATTTTGTAGTTCTCCATGTGATGTGATTAATTACTACCATGAATTTGACCCTAAACATTATAGGGTTGGCTTATAGGCTCATAAGTCATACCTCCCCAATTTTACTATGGAAAAAATTTGTTTTAACCCCTTAATTTATTAATACAATGTTTCTTTTAAATAAATAAATAAGAGTAGAGATCTAACATGCTTATGGTTCTAGTATTGAAAGATTTTATTTTCATCAACAATGTATTTGCAGCCACCAAATTCAATTTTAAAGGCAGGCACATACTAAGAATTATGATTGTTTCTGCAAAAGCCAAAAAAAGAAAAAAAGAAAAAAGCATACTCTGTGAGTTTTGCATTCAAAAATCAAAAGAGGAGGTTGAGCAGTGATTTGTGTCAAAAGAAAAGAGCTTTTCATCTTTTTATTTATTATTTATTTATTTATTTATTTATGATTAAAGAGCTTTGAAATTGAAAATGGTTTGATGGATTCTTTTTATAGGAAGCAAGCATTGTCCATTTGGTAACGGTTGAACCTAAAAAGCAGACATGCTTATCTTTTTCTTGTCCTTTACTTTTTCTTTTTTAATCAAAACGAATTCAAATGTGAGCAAGAAAGTTATTTGTCATTTTTCTAAGAGTTTTTTTTACATGTTAGGTTACCAAATTGAATAATATTATTAACAAAGCGTAACAAAGAGGAGAGGAGGTTTTATTTTTTATTTATTTATTTATTTATTTATTTATTTTTTGGGTGGGGTAGGCGATAAAACGGAGAAAATTGTTGTAGAACTAGAAAGATTAGAGATTGGAGTCATTGGACTTTGGAAGAAGGTGCAAAGTTTGCATTTTTTTTTATTTTTTTATTTTGCTAATCAACAAAGTTTGCAACTTTTCTTTCCAGTTTGCACCAACAAAGCCCCCACCAAACCCTATTGCCGTTTGCCCACCCACTGACTCGTTCTCATTTCTGTTTATTTTTTTCATTTGTGGAGAATTCTTCCATAATGTACCAAAAGATTTTTGTATCATGTTATATTAAAATACGTGTTTTTTCTTTATTATAATACGGTTTTGATGTGTTCTATGATTTAAAACTAAACAATCTAAAACGCCTAATTGGCAATTGCATAATTCTTCATTCTCTCTCTTTGCTCTCACAAACTCTTAAGATCTTTCGTTAAGTATCTTATTTTTTGGTTTATTTTATTTTATTTCCTTAATCTCCCTACTTGCAGTTAGATACAACAGGGGAAAAAAAAGAGTCGAGCAAAAGTAAAGACCAAGGAGTTTTTCTAATCTGAGTATTTTATGACAAGATAAAAATAATCCATTAATTTATCGATACTATATATTTTAAACTGTTTTATAAGGCCGGTAATATGGGTCACGACATGACAACATGACATGAATTTCGCGGGTTAGGATTGAGAAAAAAGATGTTTGAATTAAAATTGGATCACTCTGAAATTGACACGAAAAACACGAGTTAATTTCGGATTGAATTCGCCTAACCCGAATATGATACGAAACTCGTAAAAAACTAAAAAATACATATATTTTTTATACATATTTTTTATTTTATTATGAACTTGTGATATTATGATAGTTATACTCAAAATCTTATACTATTATTCACTTAATTTCAATGGATATTATTGTATTCTAGTGTTATGAATTTTAAGTTATTTCTAATATGTAAAATACTAAATAAAAGTATACAATTTTCGTGTCAATTTCAGGTTCACGGGTCAATTTCGCGTCACGAGTCATTTTCATGTCAACTCGTAAAGTGGTCGTGTCGTGTTTGTGTTGTGATTTTTAAAAAAATTTGTATCACAGGTCGTGTTCGGGTTGACTGCAAATTTAAAAAGAAACGATCAAAACGCGACACAAACACGATACGTGACACGCATTGTCACCCCTACTGTTTTGGAATCTTAAATTAATGTAAAAACTATGTAAATTTAATAAAGGAAATAAAAATCCGATAGATGATCTATGCAATGTGGATAGTGTATTTTTTTTTTCAAAAATTTATTTTTCTTTGTTGAATTTCCAAAACTTTGGGCCATGTTTTTTTTTCTTGACTAAAAAAAGAAAATGTGATAAATAGATATTTATAAAATTAAATTAAGAAAATAATATGTTTTTAAAATTATTTAGAATAAATAATAATTTATTATATAAATATTTCATTTAGCACTAATTAAAAAAATATTTTCAATAAATTTTTTTTTATGACAGCTAAAAGAATTTCTTTTCACGTAAATAAATTATTTATTATATAAATTATTTTTTACCAGTTATAATTGATAAATTTACATAATAAATTATTATTTATTTTAAATTATTTTTAAAAATAGGATATTTACTACGATTTCTAATAAAAAAGTGTTTAATATGAACAAGTAAAGGTCCTATTTTATTCCACCAAAAATAATATAAATAAAATAAATATAAATTTTTTTTGTAAGACTAAAGTACGAGCTTAGTCGTTAAGCAAATGAAGCCATGGAGATGAAGATCTAAACTAAACCCACAAAATTAAGGAAAATCCAGACGTTCTGAATCGGATTAAATATCTGATTCCTAACCTCTTCTTGAAAATATTTACGTTGATTTGGCAGTCCAAAGCTTTTTTGTCCTTTTTCTTGCTTAATCGTCTTCTTCAATCTCCCATCTTCTGAAGCTGCTTCAGAGAATACAATAGAGATGTGGGTGGAGATTCTGTGTGGTCTCATAATATACAGATTGGTGAGGTGCTTCTTCTACGACGACGATCTTTTAGACCTCGAAACTTCCGATTCTAAAGCCCTCTTCTCCGTCGCCGATCGGTACGGTACCTCTTCTCTTTTCTCATCTCTTCCTTCCTTTTGTTTTCGATTCACAATTCAGTTGATTTCCAATTCGGACCTGTTTGTTTGGCTGCTCAAGAAAATTTTCTTTTTGTTACTTTTCTCTTTGTTTTTGTGATTTCGAATTCGGATATTTTGGCTGCTGAACAGAATAGAATGCTCCGAAAGAAAAAAAATTTGTTTTTGTGCAAACTTGAATAAATGTAAATAAGTTCTCAGAAGGAGAAGAAAAAGGAAAAACCTTATTTATTTATTTATTAAAAAAAACTTTGAGAGAAGGAATAACAGTTGTGAATTGGGATGAATCTTTGTGCTTTTTGTTGCAGACTTGAAAAGCTTTACGGTGGGAAGGCGTATCTGGGGCTTCGACTACCAGATGCCGACACCGCCACCAAACAGAATATTGACATGGTTCTTGTCACCAAAGGGTAAGAAATGAAGAATTTCAACTTTCTACTCTCTCTTTGATTCTGGCTAATATTTATCAGGCCTTTTTTTATTTTTTATTTTTATTTTTTAAATTATTGTATTATCTTCAAAATCTACTGCTTTCTTCCCTATTTGAAATATTGAGTTTTGGGTTGTTTGACTAGGAGCTAGTAAGACGTTAGAGAGAGAAACTTTAAGTTTGTTTGTAACGAGCTCTCGAACAATGAGACAATGAAAGAATTCCACTTTTCTACACTCATAACTTATTGTAAATAATATTAAATTTTTCTTTGCTAATTACAACTCATCAACTCACTTATAACTGCTCGTTAAAAAAAAAAAAAGGAAAAAAGAAAAAAATTGCAAGTTCTTACAGAGTGCCTAAATCTTCACTGTAGGAGAATGTAGCGATTCAAAACGCTGTAACTGTCTTAACAAGAAATAACAAATGTAACGCCAAACATCGTGAAATCATAACCCTGAATTTCTCTCCCCGCTTTGACAGCCATGAGTCTTGAAGTACTTGCTTAATGTTAGAAATGCTATGCTGATGATACAAACCACTTGGCTTTGTTCAGCGGTTTCACATATGAGCGGAGTGGGATTTATAAAAGATTGTCTGAATATCGTAGACATATCTCTCATGTAGACCATTGGAAAGATGTTTTCTTTGCCTCATCTTTCATTTTCTCGATAGAGTACTTACTACTGGCTTTTGTTTATACACATTTTTTCGTTTATTTATTTTATTTTATTTTATTTTTTTCACTTGTTTCTTTTTGTTCTTGGGACAGGGAGGCAGTGGTGGTATCTGTAAAGAACCTCTCAGGATTTGTGTTGGTCAATCCAAATGGCAGCTGGGTGTGTGAGAACAAACACAAAACAGAACATCATCCCGATCCAGTAAGTTCCCATCAAATGGTTGTTTCTTGATGTTTTATACTTCTAGCATTGTAATGTCTGAATTGGAATATTTAAAGTACCTTTGATTTGTAGTAAATGCTTAACCAAATTATTTTAGTTACTTGATATTTTTATGTCCGTAGTCAGTTTGAGTGCAGTGTTTAAATTCCTTTTGTTGAAGGTCGAATAACTTTGTTAATTCTCTTACATGCTTTTTGGCGTAGGGCTGGCAACATAATGAATACCTCAAATAATAAACTTATTGATTCAGCTTTTTCTCTAACTTTTGGTATTAAATTCATTTGTTTTGTCTTATACTTTAGGTGGAAGAAGCTAAAAAACAAGCTTTAGTTCTCGAGTCATATCTTGAACAAAGAGGAGTCATTTTGCCAGAAGGATACTTGTCATGCAAAGTTATACTTCCCAATCCAAAATGTTGGTACGTCTTTAGTTGATTGATAAGATCAGTATTTTTTTTCCTTCCACGGATAAATCTGTAGCTATGCTCATAAATCTACTGTGTTTGGTCCTTCTTCCCTTTAATTAAAAAAAAAATGCTGTTTCTTGTAGTACCCTTCAGCCAAACACTTTTCCATCAGAAGTCATTACCCATGACCAGTGGACACAGCTTAAACCAGAACCGAAAAGTATGTTTTCTGGTTGGATTAAGGGTGCCTTCCGAGGTGGAAAGAAAGAGATGCAAGAATCTATAGAACAGAAGCTCAATTTTGTTCTTAGCACGGCTCCAATGTGGGATAGGTTAGTATTTCTAGATTCAAATTATTGTTACTTTTGTTTGAGGAAAGTATGAACAAGTCCTTTTTTGTTTTGTTTTTGCTTTGTTTGCCTTTTGTTTTTCTTCCATTTCCGATCGAATGGATGATCGTCACTTAAAAGTTGAGGTAGAAATGTTTCTTGATTGGCTCTACAGGTTGGAGCTCAGAGGTAATAAATATATCCTCGGGGAATTTCTGGAGTTCAAGGGAAAGCAAGAAGATCTTCAGGCCTTGAGGAATGTTAAAAGATCAAAAGTTGGTCGTCTGATCATCCAGAAGACAAGTATGCTTGGATTAGGTAATCTCCCAATAGCAATAAACATCATTTTATTTTTCTCTTTGAATAAATAGCTCTCGCTTGAAGAGGCATTGATACCTCCTCTCCTGCATGCATTTTTTGAACTATATGTTTTCATCATATTTGTCTTAACCCTCCTGCATTTCTTTTGAAATTTCCACTGCAACAATCGCAGCCCATTCAACGCTTCAAGTTTTATATTCTCCTCGTGACTATCGAGGTGAAGGGGCTTCGGCTTCTGAATGGAAGGAAGTAGTCGTGAGATCGAGCACGGAGGTTCTCTTTCAGCCCGAAAATTCTACCAAAGTGCGCGAGTTTAAACTTTCTTCAGTTGTCTCCATGTCACTCAGTGCCTAAACTCTCTATAACATGCCTCCCTTAATATGTACTGCAGACGTTGCACCACTAGTTATGTGTCAAAAATTTTCATGCGATATAAGCATGCTGTATATATATATATATATAGAAATGGACGTTTAATTGGATGAGTTAGTTTTTAAGATGAAGTGAAATTGGAAGTAAGTTAATTCATAAGGTGTAAATGAAGAGTAGAAATTGTTGCGGGCATTTTGTCCCAGTATTACACAGGAGATTTTTTAATTGATGGCTCTAAATTTTCTTATGGCACTTAATGATGAACGTTCCAAATGGACTTGGAGAGATTAAGATATTTTGTGTAAGCTTGATCCTTTCAAGAGATTGTAGAATGCTCTACATGGCACTATTCTATCTAGTACCATACAAGGCTCTTGGGAGATGGATATATTTGTCATGTGGATGGGAAAGGTACAAAATTATGGAGAGAAAAAAGTCGCAACTTTTTTTTTTCTTTGAGAGGATGAAAGAGACGCAATTATTAATTGAAATACGAAATTAATAGAACTTTTGAGGCCAACATTATTGAAAATAATTGATGAATACATGAATAAGGAGTTCCCAGTCCCCACAATGTGTGGATGGAAAGCCCATGAGACTTTTATCGATAACTCATGTACAATTCCCTTCTAACCACCTCTTGTTATGGCATTTAAGGGTGAAAAATACATCGGTTCTAAACATATAAAAAAACAATAATTAGAAAAGAAGAATATATATATATATATATGTATATATATATCTGTTTGGTAAACATCTTTCAGTTAGGCTGCAAGATTAATGAAGCTGAAGGCTTCCATCAAAGTCAACCATCACTTTGTTTAGTTTTTTGTTGCTTATCCTCTGCTGGTAGACTGTTGGTGTATCCTCTGAACTGCAAACACAAATTGAAAATAGAGAATTTAGGTGGCCTTTTACTTTCCATTTTCCAAAATGATATCTTTCCCAAGAAAAAAAAAGAAAATCAAATCAAAAGCAGTAGAAGTAGAAACCTGACAGGAGGTGGAGATTGGGAGGGGGGCAATAGAATGCGGGTGAGCTCAAGAGCATCTTGATTGCAGTTGATGACGCGGTCGAAGCACAAATATCGTCCGAAGGCGGCTGTGTCTTCGAAGACGCATATGTGCGCATCCGCTATGAACTTGAGGTCAACGGTCACCAGCACCCCATTCTCGTACATCTCAGCCGCTCCTTTCAAGTAAGGGTTTGTGATGGTTAGGTGTGGGCCCATCAAGAGTCCACCGTTGATCGACACCATATTCAACCCTCGATCCATGGCTAGCGCCCATGCTGTCTTCTCCGCCAAGGTCTTTGATAGACCGTGCCACAGCTGATCATTGGGAAAAAGTTTCATTGTGTTAAAATGGTAACAATAAGATGAGCTAACTATATGGAAACAACTCCGATCTTTCTCAATCAAGTGGAATGAATACCTTCAACTTCTTACAGAAATTGATGTCAGTCCAATTTCTTTCGTCGAAATCACAAGAGGAAGAAGTGGTGGAAGTGAGGTCATCCCTCCAAACAACAGCAGTTACAGAGGAAGTAAAAACGACCTTTTGTATTGACTCTGTCTGTGCACATGCTTCCAGCACATTGTGTGCTGCTCTAACCTCCACTTCTGCCATAAATTCCTGCACCCCCCAAACTCCTTTAATTAGCATTTACTCCCCCCCCTCTATTATTCATTTCTCTCATTTTCACTCATCATCTTTGAATCTAGAGACTAGGTGCATGCATGTGCCACATGACTCTGCACTTTTGTACCAGGTCCTAATATGTCTCAATAATTTTTATATAACAATTATTCACTAGTAACTAGTACTAGCATAATAACTATTCATGTAATAAACGCCATAGAATTCCTCTTACAAAGTTACGGATGACTTGTTGTTGCATTTGCTAAACTCAGGCACAAAAAAGTAAAAGAGTTAATAACAAAGGACCATAGAGCGAAAAACATACATCATAGAAGGGGTGGTCAGAAGGAGGTTCAAAGCAGTAGAACGAACCGGAACAACCCTTCAAAGCGTCCATTATGCTGTGGTAGTCCAACAGGTCCGACTTGAAAACCTTCAATCTTTTGGCATTACATGGAAAGGGCAAATCCTCCACAGGCTGCAACCACTCACCTGCATAACAATTAACATAACCCACAAACAAATCTAAACATGGCCTTAATTTTTAGGCCACTTGCATTGCAGGGTATCAATCAAATGAAAAAAAACAATATCAATGGCAATAGAATGGCCTTAATTTTTATGTGGCAGTTTGGATGAACCGATACGAGGTGATTGTATCACCAATAATGATAAATATAATGAATTCAAAAGGGAAAACAAACTAACCATGAGACTGCAGAGCAGCGTGGACGGTGTAACCTCGGTGGAGGAGGCGGTAGACAAGAGAAGAGCCGAGGTGGCCGGAGGCGTCCATTACGCATACAGTCTTTGCTGGAGCCATTGCACCTCACTACCGGAGTAGCACTAGTACTTGCCTCACAGCCTACAAAACAACCAAATCACATTGGATAATGGCCATTCCAGGTATATATTATATATGAAGGTCAAGAGAGAGAAATTAGAGAGAAATAATTGAATCAGCATTGAAGGGGTGTGGTTACCAGTAGACGTTTGGGAAGGTGGGGAGTTAATAATTTATGGTAGGGACACCCACCCCCTGCTAGACATATACACATGAATTTTCTCACTCTTAAAAATTTGACTTAAAATGCCTTTCTTTCTTTCTTTCTTTCTTTCAAGTACTCCCATCAGCAAGTTGAGACTTGAGAGAGAGAGAGAGAGAGAGAGAGAGAGAGAGAGAAAGAGTCTCGCATGACAGAAGCGCAAAATTAAATACATATTCAAGAATACAAAGATTAAATGCATAAGCTGGACCAATGAATGAGGTCAGCCTTTCTCGGCCAAATTTGCAAGTTGTAAGCAGCTGCTCCATTTTTTCTTTAATCTTTAATTGATTCAATTAATTTATGATGTAGATTGGAAGTTTGGCATAACAGAAACATGATCATGTATGTATGTATGTATACGGCGGCAACCGTATCTTTTAATTACAAATTTTTAAGAAAGTAGGCCGTGTGTATATCTCAACCTTTCATTTAACCTATAAAAACGTCTTCTATTTGCAAAATAAAATAAATGTGAGCAGGTCGCCAGTTGTTTCATTGTATCTCCAGATTATCTGAACAGCGACCTGTGAACACTGACATGGGCTCAAGGATATTTATAGATATATGTGTGTGTGTTTGTGTGTTTTTGTTTTATTATTATATGATATCAGAATTTGGGAGAGAAGTGAAATGATGGAGATTCCACAGAACAAGCAGAGGCAAATAATAAGAGAGTGAGAAATGAGAGAGAGGACATATATATATATATATATATATTTCATATTTGTATTGTTTTGTTGGTCACTGCAGTCTGCATTGGAGTGAGAGTGCGAAGCAAAGTGGACCCCTTGATTGGCGACACACCAAAACAATACAATACAATACAGATAATAGTAAATGCATTAAGATTTAAGATCTAATGAATCGAGATAGGGAATGGCAAATGCAATTTTGTAAGCCGACCACCATACCAACGCAGGTACTTCATGACCACTCACTCTGCCAGCAACATCGCTGCTTAATATTCTTTCCCTCTCTCCTCCCTGCTGCTGCCTACTACTACTACCACCACCACTCCTACGTGGATTTTTATCATTTAAGTTTTCCAATACAAAAAAAGAACTGTTCACAAAATTATTATTAATAAAAATACATAATATGGCAGTTCAATTATGCTGTCGTGTTGCAGCACCAATAATAATAAATCACACTTTGATTATTACTAATGTCACTTGTTGATTTTGATTACGTCGTCCAGCTTTTAATTCCTGAGTAATGTTATAGGGTTCCGGCAGTGCTTAGCACCACCCGTTAATAAAAGGTGAGTCTCGCATTGTGAGATTCATAAATGAAGCCCTTTTTTTTTTATTAATGATGGTGCTTAACACCAGTAATGCCCTTATTTCTTAATTATCACAATCATAGTATCTCACCTCCAAATTAACAGCTACATGGGCAATGTCCCTTTATTTTAATCTCTACTCTATCCACTCTGTCACAATATCTGATTTTGATTCCTATTTTTGAGCGGTCCTATGGCAGGATAAAAAAAAAAAAAAAGATAAAAGAAAAAATCCTACTCATATTTAGTGGACATTTGGTTCATAGATTCATAATCATTTTTTATTTACATGTGTTTTTTATGAGAGAAAATACTGTAGCTAATTTCGAATCATGACACGAATCCACTAACCTTAATAATTCTAAATCATCCAATTACGTCAAAATGAAAATTATATACAACACAACTTGATTTAAAAAAAAAAAAATTGACAATTATAAACAAACACAATAGTGACAGAACATTTATTGGTGCCTAATCAAACAGTTGTTAAGCCCCCGCCCCCTACGTCAAAATGAAAATTATATACAACACAACTTGATTTAAAAAAAAAAAATTGGCAATTATAAACAAACACAATAGTGACAGAACATTTATTGGTGCCTAATCAAACAGTTGCCCCCCACCCCCCATCTCTCTTGTTAAAGCTCTTACTGCCATGTTTGAAATGGACATCCGACAATGACAATGAATTTCTCTTCTTGGAAAGAAGATAAGAAAAGAAAAAGAGAAATTGGACGGAGTTTCCCAAGTGGTTACTAATGCAGAAACATTAGCTCAGGGAATAATTACGTCTTCCACGTTACAGGAAAAGACATAATTTCAGTGTCCATATTTATAATATATATACATACATATATATATATATAAATATATTTGTATGTGCGCGCGGGCGCAACAAATATACAGTGGGGACCCGCCAGTGCCAACTTTGGGAGGAGAAAATAATTTGATATATATAACTAGTCCATAACATTCCATCAAGTAAAAGAAGCCTCCAAAATACCACAACAATTCTAAACTGAGTTCAATGTGGAGAGAGATTGTCCCAAGTTTAAAATAACAAAGCATGGCAATAAAGCAAATTACAGTCCCCAAATTTCTGTCCCTTGCGAGCACTTCAGAACATCAATTAGACTAATTTATGGTCAAGCCTTGGATCAAAACTACAATTACACTGTCAAACTTTACAAGGATAAGGGTCCTGTCATAAAGCGGAAAGGAAGATCTAACTTCAGTAAGATGATATACAACAGAAAACTTTATTTTATGCATTTTGGTAAAACACAAAAAGAGTCGTATACTATGCTAGGGAGGAGCACAATTCAGCCACATAGTTTGAGGCCTTTTTCTGGAGTGTTGGGGTGCATAAAAGAAACAAATACAAGGGATTTCTATGGACTATGGTAGGGCATTTCTACAAATACTATGCATTTCCGAACATCAGATTTAACATTTCAAGATCAAACAATACAAATCTGATGAAGAAGTTGACGGTTAAAACCTGTGCAGCACTGATAATGTATGTTTTGTACACTGTCGAAAAATTCTCCTAATTATAATGCAATTATCTTGAGCATCTCAAAATGATAGTTCTTCTGGCATTTCTGGAAACTTTCTCGATAGAAAGGTCTTGTACTTTTCTTGAAGATCACTATCTGAAAAGAAGTACGCAACAATGCACTCTGAGTCATAATTGTACTCTCGAACTAGAAAGTAGAAAGCATCATTCAAAAATTGAGTTTCACGTTTGCAGTATAGAATTCAAATTGTCCCACAACCAGTTCAAAAAAATAAATAAATAAAAAAGGAGCCCCAAGAGTCAGGAGAGTGATTACCTTTTGCTTGAAATGGTGGGATGTCCTTGGACAAAGTTGTTTCCACCAGTTTGATAAATTCTTTCCCTATAAAAGTACATACATCATGTTGTTAATTATTTTCAGCAAAAAAGAAATTATCTATATTCACGTACGGGACCATAACACTTGCTATATCTACGCTTCATGCTTGTAAATCACGTAGTAAAAGAATCACAATTGACATTTTAGCTAAGCAGCTTTTATTAGAAAAGATCAATTGGAAAAGCAAATGAAATAAAAGCAGCTTTATTAGAAAAGATCAATTTGAAAAAGCTATTAAAATAAAAGGGTAGTTCCAACCAAAAAAAAAAAAAAAAACTCATTTCTACATTCCTCTAGATTTTAGACTTTCTATCATATCCCTTTTCCGCAAATAGATAATTGACTTTTCAAATTACTCTTGAATAGACTAGAATGAGTGAGAGATTCATTTGTAAAAGAAGCAAGAGTTTCTTATCATTATTATTTTAAAATAAAAGTTCGTTTTTTATCACAGAAAGGTCAAGGGCTAATTACTAAAAAGGGGTTAAGGAATCAAATCATTCAACATTATTGTACCAGTTAAACTCTTTTCTCCATCGCTGGCTTTAACTAGAAACGATGGGATATGATCCTCTTTCAACTGCAACACAACAAAGAACATTTGCATAACTAGAAATTACGGAAAAAAACTGCATAAACAATTTAAAAGGTATAATAATTTGGTAGTAAGGAGAGAAACAAAGGTAGAGAAAAGTATAAGAGATAGAAATAGGAGCACAGAAATGATTTTGTTTTTCCCTTACGTTGTATGGTATGCTGGAAGGAAAGGAAATAAGAGATTTGGAATATTACTCTTTTATATTATTTTATTTCTAAAAAGGAGAATAGATAAGTAACTTATTATATCAGGTTTTGATTTCAAGTTTTTCCCTCAAGAATCTCTTGAATTATGGATAGATTGAAAATGTGAGATCCAGTAGTGCTATTTTCCACTCAATTCTCTTTTCCTGTCTGTTTTTCTTCCTGCCAAACAAGCTACCATACCATTCCTTCTCCAATAATCCCTCTACTCTCTTCCTTCCCTCCTCTTTTTATTCATACCAGAAAAAGTGTTGCACTACGTTTGGTAGAGGTGAAAAGTAGAAAGAGAGAAAGAGATGAGGGATTTTCAAAGTGAAAATGGAATAATAGGATGTTTGGTAGGAGAGAAGAGTAGAGAAGAGGAAAGTGAAGGGATAAGAGGATCCATGAGTCCTACCATTTTTTATCCATCCAAAAGTAGAGAGATTTTTAGGTAGAAAACTTGTTACAACTTGCATGAAAAGTCAAATTACTTTTTTTTTCCCCTTATTTGAAACCAAACTAATGCTAATTAATTGGTAAAATGGTCATGATAATATTAATTGGTAAAAGGATACCTTAATCACCCCTTTTTTTTCCTATCATACTAAACAAGATAAAGGAAAAACAACTATCTTTCTCCCATTTAGATTTTGTATTATTACTATTTGACCTTGAAGAGAAGAGCCTTGGCTAGTTCCAATGGGTCAATGGACGAAGGGCCTTTGGTGTAAGCAGGTACAAACTTCCCATTCTGATAACCAGCCAGGAACTGGTAAGCTGCCTGGCCAGGTGAAAGCTTTGATATGGAAGGCATAGTACCACAACTGCTTCAACAGAGAGGAAGACAATGACTCTTTCGTTACGCATGCTTGTGAGCACTAGGGAAAGAAAAGAAATATGAAACATGCTATTGAAATTATGTATACAGGGATATATATGATGAAATGATCAAAGAGAACTATCACGATGTAAAGGGGGGAAAAATAGCAGAAATGGTTGAAATTGAACGAATGAATGCTTTGTCAAACCATGTAGAATGCCATTAACACTAGCAAAATAAATGTGACGGGCAAAGATTGACATTATAAAAAAAAAAAAAAAAAAAAAAGGGAAAAGGAATGACAGTAATCCCTCTCGACAGTCGTATAAGAGACCTGGAATCGCGGCTTATCTCTTTGGCAATGTGAGAATAAAATGAGGAAAGAAGCTGTAAGCATGGAATTTTTATGTTTATTTATTTATTTTTAAATATGGTAAACTCAAGTCTTATATCTGCATATGAAAGCAAGAAAAAGGTAACAAAATCACTCGATGTCGTTGATCATAAACACCTTCCATAAGTTAACATGAAATCCCATAATATTTGAAATATAACTATGATACCTTCGGGAGTAAAAATCTCTTATTAGCACAGAATCTGCAATGAAATCCTTCTTTTTGTAGTCCATGAGGGGAAATGTGCTATGAATATCTTATTCAATTTTAACTTTGACTAAAATAATATTAACGATAGTAATAAGGGAGAAAGTTGATATTACTTTTCAGTGATCTTTCTTTACCTATAAGAAGACGCAAAAATAACAGCATCTGGCGATTTAAATAGATTTGAACCACCATAACTTCCACCTTGAAACAATGTTGTGACACCTTGAGAAGAAAGAACCACACCAGTATCTGAAGACACCAACTTATTTGCACATCTTTTAATGGTATTTTCCGGTGCAAATAAAAGAACCGCAGATTCGCCAATGACTAAAAGCCTGAAAAATTGTAAACATTTGACTTTGAGACATAAATTACAAATTGCAGGCATTAATACAAATTATTACTATTAGTCCCTAAAAACGAAGAGTTTCACCTTGCAGATAGAGGGAGGCCTCCACGTGCGGCTATGATAGGTCCAGACAAGGCAGATAGAGCTTCTTTGGTTCCGGTTGTATCTGCAAAAGCTTTACCGCATAAAACAAGTGATAAACGATCAATATCACCGGCTATAAGTCCATCAGTTCCTCCAGATCCAAGACCAATGCTGTCCCCTACTACACCTGGACTGCATCATCCAAACTGAACAATATCACTGCTTCTTTGTTGATCATTGAGTGCTTGTTGTTTTGATATTTTTTGAACAAGAACAATGCAGAAAAATAAATTGAACATACCTCATAGAAGTAGCCACATATACTGTTAGAGGACAGGAATCGTGGGAAATTGCACGAGCAGGAGTCTTCCAGAGAACATTAGAAAGTGATAAAAGAGGAGAAGGACTGTCGCTTATTACACGAACTTTCGCATCGCATTTTGGTGAGGAACCAATAGCCCCGTCATGAACAAAGACATCTGAGATGGATGATATGTGACTTGTGACCTAAGAAATCCAAGAGCGAAAATGAAATACAAAGTATAACAAATGAAAAGAAGAGATTTTTTTTCAGTGAGGGCGTGCAGAATAAAGCAGGATAGTATCACTTAATCAGATAGCCTTTCCAGCAACCAAACTACTCACTACAGCGTTTGTATTGCTATTATGTAACCAATTACTAAACAGAAAGGAAGCTCCAAAATTTTCCCAGACAAGCCACAAATAACTTCGGAAATAAATGATGCCAAAATTCAATTGGATTAACCTTCATGAGAATCTATACTGCAACCCCACATGCGATACATGAACAACTACTTATATCTACCAAAATAAAATAAGAAAGCAAATGAAACAAGAGAATCTTAGCAGTTGGACTTGGACCAAAGAGAAACAATAGCAAGGGAACAAGATGTATAAAAGATAAAAGATTAACATGCCTGCTTTAAAAGTTTGTTAAATTGCGTCTTGGAAATTCCTGGTGCTCCTTCAAGGACATTTCCTCTCATATGAAGGGGAATTCCTGACAAAGACTCTGAAAAAAGAAAAGAAGAGAATATATAAAAGTCAAAATGTTAAATTAATAGCGACAAAAATAACAATAAAAAAAATGGTGGTGATGGAAACTTTACGTGTAATGGTCGCGCCATGTTGGTGTAGCTCACAAGCATTTAAGTTCCGAAAAGCTTTGTCCTTCACAAACACACCCTTTCCAGCCAAAGCACACTCAAGTCCATCAGAATATCCGGCCTCTTCCTCTGCCACTTTGGCTGAACCTGCATTCTGATAATATATAAATAAATGAAGAAAAAAGAGAAAAAAATAAGATATTTTCAGATGATTTGAAGCATTTTTGAAGTCGGGGAAAAAAAAAAAAAAAGATTCCACCTCATTCTGTTATGTGAGGCATACTACAAGTACGTTATTTTATTTATGGCCATATTATTCACGTATGAAAATTAGTAAAAGAGCTCAAAAGCCCAACGCCAAATATAGCCGAGAAAATCAACAGCAAACCACAAACTTGATGAAATTACGGTTACAGACAGGTTTTTTCAGTTCCGTGCTAAACATTGGAAAAAAAAAATACATATATATTATATATATATATATATATATATTTAGAGCAGAGCTATATATATGATAATTGATTATGGGCAAAATGTACACATTTTTTACATGAGAGGAAGGGGGAGAAACTTACACGTGAAAAGGAAAGCGAGAAAGGCAGTGAAGAATTGAATTGTGGACCCCACCTTCCGTTCAAGAAGCGCTTCACAAGTAATGAGTTCCTCCTCATCACTCTCTCTCTCTCTCTCTCTCTCTATCGGAGGTCGGAGGAGTAGAAGACAGAGAGAGGAAGATGCAGGCAGAGACAGGTTCAGTGTTGAAGAGGAGCCGGAATGGGGACGGACAAGTTATGGGCTTTTTCTGTTGGGTCAATATTTGTAGGCCCATGACTAACGGGCCCATTATTGCTAAGTTGGACCAAAACGAATGAGATGTTAAAACGACATGTCGGTTTCTCAGGTCAGCTGCGATGCGAGCTGAACAGTGCAAGTCCCACGGAACGAACGGAAGCAAAAGGAAATCAAACAAGCGAGAGAGAGAGAGAGAGATTCCTCTGATTTTCTAAAATCTCCGACTAAGAATCGCAGAGCCCAGAAAGAAACCCAAACCCAAATCCAGTTTCTTCTTTTGGTTTCAAAGGTAAAAGCTTTTTCTCCATTTCTTCACTCATACATCATCAAAAACCAAGTAAAGAAGTTTTCATTTGGAACAATTGAAAAATCTCCTTTTCTTTGCTTTGCTTTTCCTTTTTCGGTTTCCTTGTTTTCTCTGCTCTTATTTATGACCCAAGACAACAGTATTATTTTCTTTCTTTGGCTCGCCACTCTCTTGTTTTGGATTTCCTTAGCATTGAATTATTTTAATATTAAAGATATTTTTTGTGATACACGAATTTTCCATTTCGTTTTATTAGGGCTTTTAACTTTGAGAAATACCCCGTTTTTCCTATAGCCAATTGTGGTCAGCATTTTTATGGGTTAAATAAAAAAACAAAAATAAGAACCATTATTTTGTTAAACAAAAACTTGGGAAGTTTCTCAAATAAATTATAAAAGAAAAAAAAAAACGCTTGGAATGGTGGTTAGTGCCAAATTTGGTAACTGAACAAAGACCCACACAAAGTATGATTTTAGAATTAAAAACCATGGAATAAAGTAGACTTATTGGTTCGTTTCGTGGCACGGATTTTCAGGTTTCTTTTCTTAAATGTGTAAGAATTAGAATTTTAGTAACAAACTGTACATTATATCAGGTATTCTTATTGGTTTCTAATAGTTTAGGTATTCTTATTGGTTTCTAATAGTTTCTTACTTTAGTTTTAGTCTAAATATATTTAACTTATTGGTTTGTTTCTTGGCATGGATTTTTGGCTTAAAATCCTGCAAGAAATAGAATTTTAGTGAAATGCTTGGGCATTATATCTTTCTAATACTTTTGAATCTTCGGTATAGGCAGACTTTCGTGATGGGATCACTGAGGCAAAAACTTACGTTCTTTCCATCAGAAGAGGTTCTGTACAATGTTTACGCATCATATGAAAAGGTCTAAACCAGTTGTGAGTGGCATTGGAAGTCTAGTGCATGGTAGATACAAGCTGGATTTGAATATTCCCACGAGGATGATGGATTCCAGTGCCATAATGGGAAATCCGATTATAGAGCCTCACGATGAAATGGAATTTGAATCTCATGAAGCTGCATATTCATTTTACAAAGAATACGCCAAGTCTGCAGGATTTGGAACTGCAAAGTTGAGCAGTCGCCGATCTAGGGCTTCCAAGGAGTTTATTGATGCAAAATTTTCGTGCATAAGATATGGGAACAAGCAACAGTCTGATGACGCCATTAATCCTCGGCCTTCTCCAAAAATTGGTTGTAAAGCAAGCATGCACGTGAAGAGAAGGCAAAATGGTAAGTGGTATGTTTATTGCTTCGTGAAAGAGCACAATCACGAGCTTTTACCGGCTCAGGCTCATTTTTTCCGAAGCCACAGGAATGCAGGTCCTCTTAAGAATGATGTCAGAATACGCAGACGGAAGAACTTAGCGGCAGTGTCCAAATTATTCAGTGCGTATCAGAACATTGACTGTTTAGAGAATAATCTGAGAAACCAGCATGATAAGGGACGCAGCTTGGTTTTGGAACCAGGGGATGCTCAGTTGCTACTCGAATATTTTATGCAAATGCAGGAAGAGAATCCGAAATTCTTCTATGCAGTTGATTTGAATGAAGAGCATCGGCTGAGAAATGTGTTCTGGGTTGATGCCAAAGGAATGGAAGATTATTCCAACTTTAATGATGTGATTTCTTTTGACACCACATATTTCTCCAACAAGTATAAAATACCTTTGGTGCTCTTTATTGGGGTGAACCATCATATTCAACCTGCATTACTCGGTTGCGCATTGATTGCAGATGAAACAGTTTACACATTTGTTTGGTTGATGCAAACATGGCTTGTGGCAATGGGTGAACAGGCTCCACGGGTTATTCTCACTGATCAGAACAATGCCATCAAGGCAGCCATTGCAGCCATCTTTCCAAGCACGCGCCATTGCTTTTGTTTGTGGCAAGTAATGGAGAAGATGCCGAGGCAGCTCCAGTTTTTGAGTATGTGGCAGGATACTTTCATGGAAAAATTTAATAAATGTGTTTTCAAGTCGTGGTCCGTGGAACAATTTGAAAAGAGATGGTGGAAACTCATTGATAGGTTTAATCTTAGACAAGTTGGGTGGATTCAATCCTTGTATGAAGATCGTATGCATTGGGTGCCTACATTCATGAGAGATATATCGTTTGCCGGATTGTCTAGAACTTCTCGATCGGAAAGCTTGAACTCTTTGTTTGACAAATATGTCCAAGGGGAAACGTCGTTGAGGGATTTTATGGAACGGTACAGGGTAATTCTTGAAGATAGGTACGAAGATGACGCCAAAGCAAATTTCGATGCTTGGCATGAAACACCGGAATTGAAGTCTCCATCGCCCTTTGAGAAGCAAATGTCGCTAGTCTACACGGATGAAGTTTTTAAGAAATTCCAAGTTGAGGTTCTGGGAGCGGCTGCTTGTCATCTTAAGAAGGAAAATGAAGACGAGACAAGCACAACTTATACTGTGAAAGACTTTGAGGATAATCAGAATTACATTGTTGAATGGAAAGAATCAAAATCGGATATATATTGTTTGTGTCAATCATTTGAATATAAAGGTTATCTCTGTAGACACGCCATTGTTGTTCTTCAAATGTCTGGCGTGTTCAGCATCCCACCTAAATATGTACTGCAACGATGGACTAATTCTGCTATGAGTAGGCATTCCATTGGTGAAAAGCTGGATGACGTGCAGCATAAAGTTCGTCGATATAATGATTTATGCAGACGAGCCATAATATTGGGCGAGGAAGGATCATTATCTCAAGAGAGTTACAATGTGGCTTTATCCGCCATAAAGGAGGCTTTGAAGCAATGTGCAAATTTGAGCAACTCCGCGGAGAACAATGCAAGACCTAATTCCTCAGCAGTAGGTGGTGTATGTCCCATTGAAGAAGAGAATCAATGCAGCAATGCATCTAATTTCGGGACATCTGGTCCTAAACCGACGACTACAAAGAGGGCCCCTAGGAGAGTTGGGGTGGGGAAAGAGGCAGCCACAAGTAATGAGAATGGTGCAGCTAAGAAGGGGAAGGTGAGTGTCTTTGGACGTTGGTTATGTCCGTTTCATTCAAATAATTGTGTTTCTATTTGGAGAAGGTGAATGGGAAACGAAGTATAAGAACATGCATCTTGTTTTGTAGGTACATCCACCGGAAGTCGTCACGAGTGTTGGCACGCAAGGTTGCTTTAACCAAGTGGTACGTCATATAATTGATTACTCTCCCTTGCAGTTTTCGCGAACCACTAAAATTCTCAATAAAGTTGAGAAGTAATGTTGGGGATGTCAGATCAACATTTTGACTAAGTAACCTGATCATGTTTGGTGTTGGTGATTTTGTTATTTCGAAAGCACAGGCATTTTTGAGTATATTGTTTGACATCTTCTTCATTGTTGTTTGTGGCAGGAACTTTCTGACGGGCGTTTTGCACAATTACAGAATGTGGTGCCTGCGCCGTTGCACAGTATGGTGCCGGCGATGTTTCAAAACGTTGCATCGCCACAGTTCCATAATGTGGCTACGTCACATGTCCCTGAGAATCGTCTTCCTCGTTAGTGCAGTTTCTCTTCTGACAAAAAAAAAAAAAGAAAAAAAAAAGTATGTACATTCCGACTACTTAAGCACTGTAACAAGATCTAATCTAGTTTTGAAAAGTTACCTGTTGTTCATGTATACTGAGTTTGGATTAATGATAGTACGTTACTTGTGTCCATCTAAAAGTTTAGAAATTTAGGCAACATATTTTTAATGCATTTCTGTTAGCAAAATCTAGCTTCAGTTTCAACACACTTACCCCAGCCTAACAGGTGCAATTTTATAGGAATTTTTTTGACATAACCAAAATTTCATGTCAAATAAAAAATAGGGTTTTTGTATTGCCACATAACATTTGGCATTAGTAATTTATGATCTATATGACACCTTTTTGTAGGGAAATAAGGCACTT